CTTTCCTGTTGCACTCATAGACCACCGGTTTCGGAGTCAGCCACACCTGGCGTGAACCCCAGCCCTCCCTCTTCCTGGTCCTGTGGCCTCGGACAGGTCACCTCCTTTACCTCACCTGTGCGGTGGAGCTGCACTGCGAGCCACCCACAGCGCGGCAGCTGTAAAGGGCTCAGCCCCGCGCCTGCCCGGTGTGGGGTGAGAGGAGACCGCTGGGAAGGAGGTGGGGCCGAGGTTCGGGAAGGCTGCTGGGGTTGGGCTACAGTGAGCGGGAGAGCCCCACTTGTGGCCTCCCGCACGCACGGTCGAAGCAGATCCTGCGAGTGGGCTGGGGGCCGTCACCCTTTGCGGGAGACATTCAGAGGCCGAAGGGGGGGCCGAGTCCCTGAGTGGGTTTGCACATTCCCGCTGTCACCACGGTGTTTCGGCCGCCCCTGGTTTTACCAGAGTCCAGACCTGCCTGCGCTCGGCGGAGCACCCCCTTGGCACGCTGTGAGGCGGTTCAGGCGACCCTCCCTTCCAACAGCGAGGTCCGGGGGAGCCTGACCCCCGTGTTTACGAGATAATGCAGAGCACACGCTGAGAGGGGCCCTGGGCTGGTCCGGCAGAAACCTCGCCGGCGCGGGCACGTCCCACATTCCTGCCGGCAACTCCCTGCCGGCCGTGACCCCTCCGTACCGTGCGTCCCCTCTCACGGTGGCCCGCCGTTCCCTGACCCGGGTTCTTGGTGATCTCGTCCCCGTGGAGAGACGAAGCGTGGCCCTGGAGAAAGGACTCGGGTTCTGAAGTCAGGAGAGGTAGGTGGGCCCCTGCGCTTCCAGCTCTGGGGGCGTGCACTGCCGAGCTCCCTGGCTGACCTCCACCGGAGGAGGCAGAGCAGGAACCTCTCTCCGCCTGGGGGGACGCTGGAGGAGGCCTGAACGCAATGGCGGCTGCCGACTGCCCGCCGGGAGGGCTGGCCGCAGAGCACACACGAACTGCCCCCCCCCAACCCGGACAGACAGTAAGACAAGATTTGCTTTCCGTCTAACGGGACTTCATACGAAAGGGATGACGGTCCTTCTCTCTTATTAATAATGTTCCAAAAGTCACTGAGTCTTGATTGCTAGAGTTAATTAAGTGGCTCTCTCTTTGGAGAGAATCTTTTCCCCTCTTCTCATTTGGCAAGAGGAGCAAACGGAGGCCCGAGTTCACACACAGAGGACAGCGCTGGTCCGAAGGCTGCGGGGAGCGGGGGAGAAGGGGCAGGAGGCCAGCTCTGATCCTCGGACAGCACAAAGCCAAGGGGGAGCGAGATCAAGAACTTTTAGCGCCAGAGTTAATTAACTCATTTCTCTGCTGCCCTCTCCTCATTGTTTCTCGAAGCAATTATGTCTCCTACCCTCTCCCACCTCCGGCTCCCGCATAAAACTGTCACAGATGAAATCAAATTGTTCAGCCATTTCATTAGGGAGACTCCGGCTCTCATTCTCTGGGGCATTTTTCACTCTCATCCAATCAAAGTCTCTTTCGGAGAAGTTAACTCCTTCCTGGAGACCACAGGAAGCCGGTGAGCGCCACTGAGGGGCTGGTGCGCCGGGTGGGCGTCTCTGACCAGTGCGGGATGTGGTGAGCCGGGGCCAGGGCCCAGGCCCCGGCCCGCGCGCTGACCGCCAGACAGACAGGGCGAGGGCGCGTGTCGGAGTACAAGACCTCAGACGCCTGGGACCTACTGCACCTTTCTCATCTCTTGACCCCGGGTATGTTTCTTTTCTTGGAGGGCCCCCAGCTTTCCCAGCTGAAAATTGCAAGTTTTGAGTCTTTTTTGCCCTGTGCTAGAGTCCATGAGTCCCCCCAACTAGCACTCGGATGTCTGAGGGTTACCAAGCTGTTGGAAGAGCGGTGGAGTCAGAGCTCACTTGCACGGGTAACCAAGTCTTTTCCCGAGGAGTGTGCAGGGGTTGTGGTGTAAAGGAAGGGCTGGGGTGGACATGAGAGCCGGAGGCCACTGCTTGGCAGTGACTCAGAGGAGAGGACGGAGCAGGGGGAAGAGAAGACAGGCCAGGGGGACGGGGCCCGGGGGTGTATGGAGGGGTGGGGTATGACACCCCAAGCGGGTGCCCTGGGCACAGGGTTAAAGGAGCAAGACTCTGTCTTTGTTGGTCCTTGACACCAAGTGCCAGGCGATAGGAAAGAGGATGGCACTGTTAGGAGAGTGGGGGTCAGTGCAGTGTGCTGCGGCATGGGGACACGAGAGAGAATGAGCGGGGGAGGCCTGCACACACAGTTCAGGGTCATCTCTGCAAGATGGGCCTGCTCGGGCCTCGCCGCACAGGTCCTGGCAGCTTTCTGCAGCAGGCCAACGGCCTTGGCAATGACAGACGGGGAGGCTGGGGCACAGGGGTGACTGGTGGGCTCCAGGAAGGCACTGGGAATAGGACAGAGATGGAGGGAGGCCTCGATGGGACATCTGTGCACACTACTCAGCTGTCAGCTCCTCCGAGTCAGAGGCTGCTGGCTTTGCCCCTGCCCCGACACACCTGAGGGGGGTGGGACCACGGGGGCCTCCCTTTCACAGGGGCGGGCTCAGTGCCCAGCAGGGCAGACCCTCGGGGAGTGTCTGCTGGACTGCAGGGGGGAGGCTTCTTGTCTTTCTACCAGGCACGGGTCCCAAGCACACTTTCGGAGCACTGTTTTTCTTGCCTTCGTGCGACAGGCTAGGGGCTGGGGACCAAGGAAACTTGTCCCTGTCGCTGGAGCCAGGCCGATGCGGTGAAAGCCTGCCAGCCTGCAGGAGAGGCCCTGCCGGGGTCGGAGTGTCCCCTTGGCTGTATCGGGGCGGGGCAGGCATGGTGGAGAAAGAAGGGCCAGCCTCGCACCAGGAGCGGCTCACCCTCACACGCTGCCCTGCTGTTTCTGGGCGCAGAGACCTGGGCAATCAGAGAGAGATGGAATTCTTAACTTTGAACGCGAGGCCCGTTCCGGCCACACCGCCTACGGTGCAGAATGAGCTTATGGTTTTTGCAAACTCTGTAATCGCCTCAAGAGCAGCACCTTCCTATTATACTATATTCCTTTGAGCTATAACTGACCAGTGGTTCATATAAACATTTGAAACATATTCACTTCCAGAAAGCCCTCGCTTTGGGTTTCCTTGTTCCCTAATCCACGGAGCATCCCGTCTCTCCCTTCCTCCTCTCAAGAGGGAAGTGGTGCGGCCTTTGGAAGGCCTCGCTCGGAGAGCACACAGCGTGTCCCACCACAGTCTGGGGGGAAGTGTGCGGAGGAAGGCTCTGAGGCCGCGTGGGGTGGGCCTGGCTGACTTGCGGACCCTCTCAGACGCCTGAGGCCTTGATCCCAAATGGCAGACAGAGAACGGGAGGCAACGCAAGAGTCTCTAGATGGGCTGTACCTGGCGGGGTGGGGGCAGGGGAGGGGGGGGAGGGTGCCACAGCAGCCTCTCTCCCTGTCCCCAGGAGACGGATGCCGCAGAGCCGTGGGCGTGGCCTCTGGGCTCCCGGCAGCGGGGAGGGCAGCTTTATTTTGCGGTCACCTGAGTCCCTTTCTGAGACCCTTGGGTGAGGCCCACAGTCTGAATGCTCATCTTCCGGGACGATCGGAAAAGGCACGTGGAATGGCGGTAACTCGCGTGGGCTCTTCTGTCGGGTCACGCTAAGTGTTTCTCGTGGTTTACCCGTCCATTTTGCAGCCACGACCTGATGTCATTTTCTTACTATTCCCCACAACAGGCAGGAAGAGGTCGTTAACGTGCCCAAGGTCACCTAGCCTGTGTGTTCCAATACAGAACCTGAACCGTTATGGAACAAACCAGAGATCGAGCATCTGTGGTTCAAACCCCAGCCCCGTGGTTACAGGTTACGTGCTGTGTGACCTTAGATAAGTCCCCTACCCTCTCTGAGACTCCGTTTCCTTCACTGCATTGGGGTTAGGGTGCAGGGACTTGACAATAATCGAAGGTATATAATGAAATCTGTATAGATTTCACTATACAGTGCAATGGAATGTTACTGAACCATTGAAAAGAATGAAATCTTGCCATTTGCCACGACACGGATGGACCTGGAGGGCGTTCAGCTCAGCGAGATAAGTCAGACAGGGGAAGACAAGGAGCACATGATCTCACTTATACGTGAGATCTAAAGAACAAAATAAACAGACAAAACCGAGACAAACTCCCAGCAGAGAGAATAAACTGGTGGTCGCCAGCTAGGAGGGCGGTTGGTGGGCTGAATAAAAAAAGGGGAAAGGATTAAGAAGTATCAATTGCCAGTCACAAAAATAGTCACCGAGCTGTCAAGTAGAACATAGCAGATACAGTCAATACTACTGTAATGACTACACATGGTCTCAGGGTGATCACCTCGTAGGTTCTATAAATGTCAAATCGCTATGCCATGCACCTGAAACTAATATAATACTGTGTATCAACTGGCGCTGGAAAACAATTTTTTAAAAAGTACCGGCAGATGTAAAACTGTGACGCACACAGCACATTTGAGGTTGTATTGTGGAGTTCTCCTTTTGCACCGTCTGTTCAGGCATGCTGGGGAGCTCGAACAGAAGAGAGAATGGTGCAGCAGAAAGCGCCCCCCCCGCCGTCTGGGTCCGAAAGCAGCGCCCAGCGCAGCGCTGGGTGCCAGAGCCCAGGGCGCAGCCTTGGGAGTGAGAGGCCCCACAGGCCACGTGACCCTCCGAGGCTCTCACACAAACACTGCTGGCAGCTCTCTGTCACCCGGCATGCAAGGGAATGGAAACTTTCGCCACCAACAGCATTTGCTAGCAACTTCCCTCTCTGCGGTTTTTCTCTGTCATTCCCTTGATAAAAGAACTCGCGCTGAGTAAATGCAACCAACATTCTCGAATCTCATCTTCACATGAAAACAGCCGCCCTTCAAGAGCAGGCCGCCTGAACCATGAGGCACGATGCGCCGTGAACCGGGCGCTTCCCCACCCGGCAGGCTGGGCGCGTGGCTGACTGTCTGTGTGTACCCCCTGTGTCGCAGGCTTCGCCAGCCGTCCGCAGCCCGGGGAGCAAGCGAGATGGGGAACAGCGTGAGGTCCGCCCCGGCGCCTCCCGAGAGGACTCTGCCCTGCCCCGATGGTAAGTCTGGCTGCTCCGGTGCGACGCCTAACCCTGCCCCACACGCGCTCGGGGCAAAGGGTGTGTGGCGCATAGCTTGCTCTGTCACAATGAAATGTTTAAAAGGACCGGGCGGTGGCACCCTGGGCGGGTGCCGATCTGCTGGCGTCTGGGGACGAGCCCCTGAGAAGGGCTGGTTCAATCCCCTCGCTTTACAGGCAGAGGAAACGGAGGCCCGCCGCGGGAACGTGAGCTCTTTGTGGGTTCCCACCCAGGTGGGTCTCCTTCTGAAAGCGAGGCTCTCGCTCACCAGTGACCCGGCCAGCCTGCGCTTCAATGTTGTCATGCGCATGATGGCATCACGGGCACATAATACGTGTTATCAAAGCTCTGCTCGGGCTTTCGTGATGATGTGACTTGATAAGGTCAGGCGCTAGACCTAGGAAATCTCCTGGAAAACAAAGGGACTCTTGTGTTCCGTGGGTAGGATCACAAGGGTCAGGCGTTCTCGGGGGAGGGCACAATGTCCCAGGTTCATCAGTGATGACAAAAGTCAGCCTTTCCCAGAGATGCCAGGTGGAGCCGGACTCCCAAAGCGACAGTCCTTCGGGGGCCGGCCGGAGAGCTGGGGCGGGACACCGGCAGGCAGGCAGGAGAGGATGGCCCGGAGTAAGATCCATCATGCTCTGGGTTCACGGTGCCGGTCGCTTCCAACAGCCTGGCTTTATTTGTCAGGCACGGCGCCGGGGCACACACTGTCCGGGTCCTCCAGGGTGTTGGGAAGGGGTGGCCAGGAGGCCAGGTGATCCACTGATGTCCCCGGGCTGAGTCACTGGAGACCTTAGGACATTCCCTCCCCCCTTTCGCAGTACAGCACTCGGGGCCTGGGCACGCCTAACCCCCCACGCCCCGTGTGCCTCAGCCCTGGGCACAGACGTCCACCGGAGCGTCTGCCAGGCCGCAGCTCAGCACGGGAGTGGACAGAGCCAGGTTCCCGCCCTGCCCCTTCCTGCTGCTCACTCCATGACCTCCGTGGCCCCTAAAGAGGCAGCCTTCTCACTTCTTCCAGAACGCAGACAGCCAGGCTCTGCTCGGCCTCACGGCCCCGCAGACGTCCCCATGGGGGTGTGCAGGAACCCTGCTGCCCTGCTCCCCGCCCGCGTCAGCTGCGGGCACTGCGAGTGGCCCCCCTTTCTAGCCCGGTAACTGCCCCCCGCCCCAGTGAAAGAGGGGGAAAGGAAGAGCTCCTGGGACAGAGGAGCTGGAACCGTGCGATGCGGCGGAGCAGAGTGTGTGCCCCGGGCCTCTGGCGAGCAGGGGCCCCTGCCTCCCACGCAGAGCCCAGAGCTGCGCGGAGCTGCCAGCCCGCCGCGGCCGGGAGAAAGCCCGGCCCCTCCTCCCAACTTCTCCAAACCCGCTCAAGCCACGCTCCCTCCCAGGTCACGGCCACTGCTAGAAAACCGACACGGTGATGCCGAGGGCCCGGGCATGCTCAGTGGGCGCCTGCCCAGCAAACCCGTCTGGCGTTGTCGCCTCTCACGCTGGGGCCAAGGGGGTCTGCATGCCTGAGCAAACCCCATGAAAACACAGGCCTCCAACACTCGCTCATTTGCCTTTAGTTTTTACATGCAAATCGTCATGAAGTAAGTTTCTCTTTTTCCACTGTGTGGGTGGGAGGTCACCTCGAGAGAGGAGGCAGAGGGGTCTCCCCACCCCTCCACCCCCCCGGTAGAGAATTCCCCAGGCCAGACCCGGTCTGTAATCCAGGCTACCACATCAAGGGCCGGCGGGTGGCTTTTCCATCCCCCACCCCTCAAAAGTTCCCCTTGTGATCAGCCCTTACTCGATTTCCTCTTTTCTCTGACACCTACGGGGATGAGGGAGAAGAAGGTGGCACCGTTGGTGCTGCATTCATTAGCCTTTATCCAAATGAAGCAAAAGGCTCGGCCTTTCACGGAGCACGCACCTCCTCAGCTCGCACAGGTGCCTATTCATCTGGTTAGTCTCAGGTGCCCGGAGGGGGCGCGCGGGGCTGCTGCTTCAGGCCCCCCCACATTCGGGGCCTCCTCGCCATTAGCCAGAGCAACAGAGAGTTAAGCGCCAAAAGCCCCGAGGAAGGCCAGCCAGTAGACTTCTAAGACAGACACATTTCCCGAGCTTTCGGGAGCTCATTGTTCCCTCAAACCCGAACTGTAACTCTTCTCCTAAACAGAGCTTCCTGGAACATTCCTGGTTGGTCTAGCTCCCAGAGACTGACATCACAGCAGTCGAAGAGGTAGCAGCACTTGCAGAAATAGGGCAGGCCTCAGAGGCCAATGACCTTGTGGAGCTGCTGGTACTGCGCCCCGGAAGCCGTGGGGCCTTAGGCAGGTCGCTCGGCCTGTGGGAGGCGGGACTCAGCTCTCCGACATCAGAAGGACCCCTCCCTCGTGGGCCCGAGCGTGGCACGAGGGAGCTCGCTGATCAGTGTGGGTGGAAGCCCGTTTTCCCAACTCCACTTGGGGTTCTCTGCGTGCACGGGGCTGTGTCTGAGAAGGCCATCCCCTGGCAAAACTATGGAGCCGTACAATGGAGAACTCCATGCGTGTTTGCCAGCATCCCGAACAGCTCGTTTTCCCCTACCGTTCTACGCAGGCTCTAGACGCCTGCTCTGCATCAGACACCAAGGGAATGGCCGTGTCACGGGGAGACCGCGCATGTCTGTCTTATAAAGAGGGAGTTTAGTCGCGTCGCTGGGGTCTTGTACCCCCAGTCCGTTCTCACCCTTACATGGCCCAACCTAAAGTGAGGCCTGTCTGATGGGGTGGCAGGGGGAGCCGCCACCCCAGCCATTGCTGTGCGGACCCCCTTCTGGGCAAGGATGGAAACATGCTAAGCAGTGTATTTACATAGCCTCAAGGGCGCTGCCCTGGTGGAAAAAGGGGTGGGCGGGGTTCTGGGGAGGAAGACGGGGGCAGGGAAGTCTCAGACTCAGCCTGGCACATTCAGGGAGTGGTCCTCAGACCCTAGCCTCAGCTCCCCTGGGAAGCCATCAAATGCAGATTCCCAGGCCCCACCCCAGGCCTGCTCATCAGAATCCAGTGATGGTGGGTGGGACCAGCACACTTAATGGCTGGCAAGCCGCCGGTGCACCTCGAACCCCTAAGCCTGCAGACCGTGGACCTAGCTTTCAGTGAGGCCCTTGCACGAACACCCAGCGACAGACGGGATTCCGCAGTTGTCTCTGCCGGGTTCTCTGTCCTCGCCTGCGAATCAGGGATGATTAGTTACTTGTGGCCCAGAGCGCTCTAGACACGACGTCAGGTGCTGTACCCACAGCGAGACTCAGTTCTCACGACGGCCGCAGCAGATCGACACCCTTACCCTCTCCACTTCGCAGTTGAGGAAACTGAGGCACAGGCCGTGCTCCGTGGTGGCCAACAGAACTGGGCTGGCCTTCCCCAGGCCAGCCTGCCCAGCCCTGTCTGATTGGTCAGCCGTATGTGCGTGTGTTTCCTGGGAAAGCTACGAAAAGCAGGGCCTGCTTTGAGCCCTCCGGAGGCCATGAGCTCGGGCGTGACTCAGGGGAGGCACGAGCAGAAGCTGAAATCGCTGGCCTTCCGTCCTTGCCCCCCGACTCCCCCAAGCTGCTGTGCCAGTTCTGACGCCTCATTTAACCCAGGCTTTGTCCCGACCTGTCAAGGATCAAGTGTTAACTGGGGGGAGCCTGGTAATTCAGCGCCAGGGAGAGCTGTGTAGCCTTGTGACATGACCATCGATTTAGAAATCTCCATAATCTCTCCTGGACGTGTTACTCAAACTCCCCCAGCCTGGGTTTCTTCAGCCTTTAAGTGAGAATAGGTGTCCCCTAATGAATGCCTGCGTTTGCCGGGTGATTGCAAACGAGACCTACTAAAAGGTTTTCAGCGTCTCAAAAGAAAGAGTGACAATGCTCCAAGAAATAATAATGCCGTAAGAAAGGAGGGGGCTCTCATCTTTGACCTCGTAATATCTGTGGCTGGTGAGTTCTGCCTGGGTTTCCTTCCTTTTTTGGATTCGTTTTCTATTTTTACACTTTTGTACATTTTGTTCGGTCTGACTCATTTTGGAGTTAAGCTATCAGCAGATATTCAGTGTTTTGAATTTCGTCTTCTGTTCTCACCACATGGAGTTTGTTTTTAGCAGATAAGAGTATTTTCAAACGTACGTGACTAAGAGGCTTTTGAGAATGCAGGCTGCTGTGGCTGCAGTGGGTCCGGGACTGGGGAATGGTAACCCGCCCCATGGCACATGAACGGTGCAGGGGGTGCCGCTGATGGAGGTGGGCTCTGGATGCCTGCTGGTCCCAACCCGCCTGTGCGAGTCCGTTTTGATGTTTCCCATTGTTATACATAAAGAGATCAAGCTCAGATTAGTTAAAAATAAACCTCTTCCCAAATCGCAGAGCTATTAAGTGGCGGAGGTGGAACCTAAGACAGGTCTGATTGATTCCAAAGCCCACTCTCTCTTCTGAAAATCCTCTCTGGGTTTCTCTTTTCATTCCCGGCACGTATTTCGTCACTTCATGTGTTGCCTTATCTGACGTCCGCAATAAGCCCTGCAGCTTCCCCAGCGCTCCTCCAGGTCGCTCACTGATCTGGTTCAAGTCCAATGCCCGGCTCTCCACAGAGCCGGGGGCTCCAGGAACGTTTGACAGTGTACTGGACCCTGACGAGCACAGCTCAGTGTCCTGGTTGTGTGTGTTGTGCTGCAGGGGCCAAAGCTCAGGGATGACTTAGGTGGGGTCCCGCCACCCACGGCTTGTAGGAGAACCGCCCTTCCATCAGAACTGCTAACAAATCCCAGTGTCTTCTCCCCGTCTGTCTGCAGTTTTCCTGACACTGGTGACAAGGTGACAGTGGGCCTGATCTCGTGCAAAGGGCCACGTGAAGGCGGTGCTTACGTTGAAGCAAAAGCCCCGGTGAAAGATTTATCTGATTGATGTTTAGGCGCTGTAACTATAAACATCTTGTTATTACGGGAAATTCCACAGGAAACTCACCTTTGCTATTGCGAAATTGAAACACTCCAGCCCCTGAAGCCTGCCTCTGCACCACCCCCCCTTGGAACCATTGTTTTTATCGTGGGGTTTTGCTTTTGTTTTTATTTCTGCTAGTTTTTGGCTTTGACGTTAGGAAAGACGGCTGCTGTTTCAGTCTCACTCTGGAGTCGGAGATCAAAGCCGCAGCCGGTCCGCAGACGCACGCTCAAGGCCGAGGCTCCCTTAGGGGCACAGACGCCACCCGCGGCGGCTCTCCCTGTCCACACTCGTTTTTTCCAGGGGCCGGTTCTGGGACGACCCGCTCCCCATGCCGCCTGCCGCACGCCAGGGGTGCTTCTCCTGCCTGCTTTACCAGCCGTGGCAGCTAGGAAGGACCCGGGAGCACTGGCACCTCTCCCCACTGCCATTCGATAAACCTGCCTCGAGCGTCCTTGATGGTGCGGGCACGGTGCTGGGCCTGGGGCCACCAGACAGCTGCTCCTGGGCCTCACGGTCATGCCGCTGACAGTCACAGAAACACAAAACTATGACCGGACCTGGAGTAATGGCTCCAAGGAAAAGCCGGGTGGCAGGGGGCGAGGGGGTCTAGCAGGAAGGAAAGCCTGCCCCCTGGGAGGAGGCCCTGAGTGGATGGAGGTGGGAGGGATGAGAGAGGGAAGGGCAAGGCAGGTCCTGGGCCAAGGGCACAGGCCCTGAGGACGCGGGGGACCGGCCAGTGGAGACGGAAGTGCCTGTCGCTCTGCTCCAGAAGCAGTCCGCAGGGGGTCTGCCCACAGATGGGGCCGTTTGTCCCGATTTCCACCGCAAAGGCTGTTTCCAAACCCCCATTTCCCAGACCAACCCAGGCCCGTGTGCGGAAGGACGCGGCCACGCTCAGGCTGGGAAAGTCAGCCTCCGGTTCGGGGCAGAGTGGCTGGGAAGCCGCACAACCCGTGTACATTAGGTCCCCTCCCTGGCAGGGCGCCTCTCTGGGGCCTGTCCCACACTCTGTATTTGCAACTTCACATTCTTTTTCTTAAAGAGGACATCCAAATTTACATACGCTTCATGCCCCACCAAATCTGGACCCACCTCTTATTAGAACTCAGGATTTCTGCCTTCAAGCCTAATGCACACACACACACACACACACACACACACACACACACTCTCTTCAGCGCTGCCTCTGATTTCTGGGGTGGGGTCTGGGCTACACACCCCAGAAGGACCCCTTTTGTTAATCTGGCAACCCAGAACGTGAGTGGGTCTCCCCACAGGCTCAGGGGGGTCAGAGGCCTCACTGGGTCAGCCCTTCCGCACCGACACTGCTCCTTGTCACGGGCCCGGACCCCTTTCCATGACCCCTGCCCCCGTGAATCACTTTAGGTTTCCATCGCCCACCCGGCGACGGTTCACTCTCTGCAACTCAGTTTCCCCAAGTGACTCACTCATGTGTCGGCTGATAAACAAATCCTACGTCAAAAAGGCCTCATGCACCTTTCTTCCTCGTTCCAGTCCTTAAGCTCTCCTTCGACTTGGCCGGCTGGCCTGGGGGAGACTGGGTCGTAGAGAGTGGCCTGTGGGGGCCACGGAGGCTGCCGTGCCCCAGTGCTGGGCTCTCCAGGCGTTGCTGGGTGAAGGGGGCAGGGGAGGGCCCCTCTTCCCACCACTTGTGTACTCTTCAGAAGGGTCTAGAATGCGGGCTTCATCAGAGCAGGGAGCCCTGTGACCATCATGCTTGGTCAAGGGGAGGCGCTCAGTGAATAATGGTCAATGAATGAACAAATGTCGCCCAAAATTCTGAGTTCGGATGCCCAGCCAACGATGGGGGGATAAACGTCACAGCAAACAATTACTGTACTTGATGGTTTGTAAGGTGCCCCAGTGTCACCCTGAATCCAGTGCACCGGAATTAGAGCAAATCACTAAGGCTGCGAAACGAGCACTTGGCTCGCGGACGAGAAACTGATCCCTATCTTATCGCCGTTTCTCTCCTCCACAGCGAGCTGTGCTCGTGTCTGGGAAGGAGCGCACTTTCCTTCTCAGAACCTCACCAGAGTTACTTTCAATATGCAGACCATGAAAAGCACTGAAGTTTTCTCTCATCCCCGCCCCTGAAGTCTCTGTTAAATAGATCCCCAAAGTGGTGCCTTAGGTTCTAGGAGGAAGAGGTGCTTCATTGAGATTCAGAGTCAGTTTCCGGGGTCCAATGGGCCCTCAGAACTCAGGTAGCCTGACCTCCAACACCCCACGATGTTATCCGTATGGGGCCCTCGAGGCCCAGAGGGGGCACCCAGGGCAGTGACACTAAAAAGGGATGTTTTCAGAGCCCCTTGTCATTGACAAGGTGGCGCCACCCATGTCCATCTCATCTCATAAGGACCCTGGAGTGGGGTGCCATCAGCCCCGCTTCGAGGTTGAGAGACCGGGTCTGGTGGGCCTTGCGGCACTTGCCCGAGGTCGCACGAGTCCGCAAACATGGGGGTCTTGTGCCTGCAGCCCACGGACCGCTGGGTCCCTCTGCTCAGATGAGACCACCAGGGCCGAGGCAGGCCTGACCCGCAGGGACCCCACAGGCGCCCCGTGGCGCCGTCCCGGAAGAGAGGAGGGTATACTGTACAAACTGCTGTCGCAGCATAAGTCGGTCGTCTCTAGCTGCAAAGTTCCCAGGAGGGACTCATCTTTGCAGCCGCCCCTCGCAGGACCCCCTTTTAGCTCCTTGTGAAAAAAATACCGATTGTCCCTGTGTCCCCAGGACTGGACAGCGACTACCTGGCCGTGCTGAGTGACTACCCGTCTCCTGACATCAGCCCCCCAATATTCCGCCGAGGAGAGAAACTGCGCGTGATTTCTGAGTGAGTCGGCTTTCACAGACTTGTACAATACTCTCAAGAAGGATGAACTCCATTTGCGGGGGGATGGGCAGGTTTCAGCTGTAGCTGTCCAATCCCACACGGCCCTGCCTTATCAAGAGGGGAGGCATTTGGCCCGTGCAGAGGTCCCTACGGCTTTATCCCCCTCAACGCTGCCAGCGTCCTGAAGCCGTCAGTGGCTCCCCACTGCCAACTGGGTGACAATTTAAACTGATCCTTCACGATCCAAACTCTGCCTCTCACATCAGACGCATCCCCCACTGTGCATGCGGTGCTGGTGTCAGTCGCCAGTGCAGACCGGGGAAGAAGGACCCGGGAGTCTGAGAAAGGGCCCCTGGTAAACGAGCAGCATTGCCTTCCGTCCCGCTGTCTCTCCCTGATTCGAAATATGCTGTAGAGCAAACCAGGGTTCGAATCCCCTTCTATTGAAGTCTACTTGGACATGGACAGGTGAAACTGTCTTGATCATAGGGTATGAATCAGTACAAGCACACACTTATTTTTTAAAAGCCTCCAACTGTGGAACATCGGCTGGAAGCATCTGCTGCTGGTCTCCGGGGGCTGTCCCCAGCACATGGGAAGATTTCCTACCTAGTGTGGGAAATGGGGGGATGTACTTAAAAACGAAATCTTCCTCTGGAGAAATCTGGGCCACCTTAGCCAATGATAGACCTTTAAAAAGAACATTCCAATGCACCCCAGGTTCAATCTGGTTATGCTGTGTATTCACTCATTCATGTTGCTACTTAGCTGTGACGCTTTCCCGCCTGTTCTCGTTCTTGCAGCGAAGGGGGCTGGTGGAAAGCCATCTCCCTCAGCACTGGCCGGGAGAGTTACATTCCTGGGATATGCGTGGCCAGAGTTTACCACGGGTGAGTACAGGTCTCAGGGCCATCGACACAGCGTGGCATTTATGCTAATGACTCGTGCGTGTACACAGAAGGATCCCAGCCTGCTGGAGGGGAAAGGAAGGCATTGGCTTGAGAAAGCCATTTCTGTCTCAGCACAGTTCGTGGGGAAGGGTGCCGTCTTGGGCCAGCCCCTCCCACTGTCTACAACTCAGTGGCCCCTTCAGTAGGACAAAGGGAGGTAGGCCTTTCAGCTCTAACCTGGCGTTCCTGGTGCATGGCAGTTAGCACCCAGGAAAAACAGGGACGCAGTCGGTCCCATGGCCCAGTCAGCCTGCCCTGGCTCCAGTCCCGCCTCCGTCCCTCACTGGCTGTGACGGTAGGCAGGACATGCAAGATTGTGCATCAGCTTCCTTTCCTTGCCTGCCCGCTAGCGAGCACAATACAGAATTCTAGAAATAGCAATACAGAACAGTGTGACCGAAGCACAGGGTCGTTAGGAAGAGGAGACGGGATAATAGTGCACGGACAGTTCTTGGAACAACGCCTGGCCCTGCAGAAAGCACTCGGCACCCATCCCCATGTTCTTATCAAATCATGCGCAACGGACACTGGGCACCAGAAACGCTACCTATCCAACTTGACAAACGGAGAATCGAGCAGAAAAGGAGAGACTTAAAAACAAATCAGGCGTGGAGGATGAGGAAGCACGCACACCGCTGTGCCCTGCGGTTGTGTGGGGGGAGGCCTCGCCGCCCGGAGGGTGGCTGTGGGGGCCAGCGCCCCCGGGCTGGGGTGTGCGTGGCTCCTCCGTTCCGTGACTTCCACGCAAGAGTTTCGGAGAAGTTACATAACCTCCCGAGCCACCGTCTCCACATCTGTCAGGCTACCAAGGTCAGATGTTGGCAGTGAAGTGCACACCAGGGAGGGAGGAAGGGAGGCAGGGAGGAAGGAAATGAAGAAGGAAAGAAGGAAGGACTGTTTTTATTCGGAGGGCCCAGAAATAACTGGATTCAGAGAAGGACCCTGCGTGCCACACGCTGCTCTGCAGAAACGGAACACCGTGCAGAGCGGGACTCAGTGCATCTGCGTGTGGCGTCCCCGATCTTGGTTACGACTACCACAGCCTTTCCCGTGCTCGGGAGGGCGAGGGTGGGCAGAAACGGGACAGCAGCTGCCCCCAGACTTGTGTTCTACAAGAGAGGCGGGTTGCGTGACTCTCCTCCACCCTCGGCGTCACTGATCCAGTCGTTTGTTGAGCCAACCTGCCTCAACACCTTCACGCGGAAGCTGAGGTGCGGAGTGCGGCCGGGGCCGGGGCTGGCGAGGAAGCCAGACAAGCGAGATGTAGTCACGACTGCATGGAGCTTCCAGTCTAGTCGATGCACTAAATGCCCCTAAAACATCGCACAGGCGGAGAGGCAGTGCAGTCCAGTGGTTATGAAATGGGATGTCCCAGAAAAGCACGTTCTGGCTCCAGCTCTAGCGGGTCTTGCTCACACAGAGGAACTTGGACAAAGTCATCGCTCTGACCCTCAGTAACCTCATCAGTGAGAGAGAGATGATAATACACTTGGCTTACTGCACGGATATGAGGGTTAGTTTCCAAGTGCTGAACACGGTACGTGGCCCGTGCTTCCTAGGCATACGTGGCTACTGTGACTGTCTTCCTTTTTGTAAGTGGGATTTCATGTCAAGACCTGAAAGGACGAATGTCACACCCACTAAAATAATTGGACTAAGCCATTCTACAGAACTAAGGAGTAGTTAAGCTATGTGGCCTATTCTGGGAGAATCATAATCCTGACAACAGAAGCCCAGCACATAGATAAACAGGACTCGATGTCAGGTCTGTGCGTCTTCACACACGCGGTGTTTCGGCAGCACCGAGCCAGCCCCATCGGTGGCCAGCTTGCGTGCCATGGGGGACACGAGATGCTAAGAAACAGCAGAGCATTAACATCTACCACAGCGTGCCCTAATTCTGACCCTCCGATTAAAAGCCAGGGTCTGTTCACTGAAACACAGCAAGCACTTAGAAAAAAAAAAACGATGTACAAATGCTCTGAGTACACTGCCGCCAGCTGCTAACAAAGCATTTCCTCCCACACGGAGGCCCGGCCAGGCCTGCTCTGCAGCATGAGCGAGGGCGCGTCCGCTGGGAACACGGGTGGCCTGGTGCACAGAGCTCTGCTCCTAACACGCGCTCCCCAGCGCCGGCCCTCCTGCCACAGGGGCGCGCTCCACGGGCACGCTGGGTCCTGCTCTGCAGTGGCTTTTAAGTAAAAAAAGCAAGAAACACATGTGAACGCACAGAGCAATGAGAACTGTATTTAAAATAGGTTGGAAAAAAAAAAGGCAAGAAGGAAACACAACAAATGTCAAATGGTGCTTGTTACGTTGATGAAACGAGGCACCATCATTTCTTTCTTTCTTTCTTGTGTCCATTTATTCATTCACAAATATATACCAAGCTCGACCACCTGGACATAAAAATGGAGCCCCAATGGACAGCCAGAGTCCCTGCCCTCATGGGGCAGTGAGGAAGGGGCTGGGTAGCTAGACTGTAGGGGAGAGAGACATCAGGGAAACTACCAAATAGGCACCTTATCCAGTTTTAGAATGCTCACAGATTACCTAGTACAGAGCAGGCCCAGTCCAGGTGGCATCTGAGAAAGGAGATAAGAAAGCTGTTTTTTGTCTTTTGTCTTTTTTTTTTAGAAAGAGGGGAAGGGAGGGAGAGAAACAGCAATGTGTGGCTGCCTCTCATGCACCCCCTACTGGGGACCTAGCTTGCAACCCAGGCCTGTGCCCTGACCGGGAATCAAACGGGCGACCCTGTGGTTTGCAGGCCAGCGCTCAGTCCACTGAGCCACACCAGCCGGGGCAGAAAGGCTGTTTGATGCATCTCTGTGTCCTCATTACTCGGTGCAGTACCTGACATGCAGTAGATACTAAGGAGTTTTATCTGAAAGATTAGAAGTATGAATGAATGAACTAGTGAAGAGTCCATGGCCCTCGTCTTTTCAATCCCAACAGTTTCACATGAACTGGCCCTCGGTCTTAATTTCTGAACCCTGTGGGGAGGGTTTGCCCCGCACACTCATGGCTGTCTTCCTACTTCCCAGCTGGCTGTTCGAGGGGCTGGGCAGAGACAAGGCCGAGGAGCTGCTGCAGCTGCCCGACACGAAGATCGGCTCCTTCATGATCAGAGAGAGTGAGACCAAGAAAGGTGAGCGCCTCCACCACGCCTTCTCGTGCTCGGGTCACACAGGCAGGCTGGGCTCGCTCATCCAAGGGCTCATCACCCCGCCCCCTGTGGGGGCACGCAGATCAAACCCATGCGGTGGGCTACTGGCAGACCGCACGCCGCCAGGGAGGCCAGCATCAAAGCAGGGGGACTGGACCCAGATACTGGGGACTTGGACCCCTTTCAGGCCCTGCCGACTCCTCCCATCAACTGAGAAGAAAAGCAAACGCCCGTGTAGGCGGCACCTGGGCAGAGGGTGTGGCTGTGGACTAGGCCTGGCCTGGGCTCTCAGGCTCTGAGACCAGGGCGGCTCATGGACTTCTCTGAGCTCAGTTTTCTTATCTGTGAAATGGGAAGAAAACCCCTCCCTCGTAAGGTGGTGGAGCGACTCGAGTGTAATCTATTTGTGCTGGCCTTGCTGCACAGGAGACCCCAGTACCAGTTCCCTCGGTGCCCAACAAGGAAATCAGATATCTTCGAGAATCGGAACAAGCAGATACAGACTCTCACGTACTCACCCTGGTCTTTATCACTGTAATTTCCTTACATCCTACACACTAAGTGATTCAGCACAAATGACAGGGCGGGGCTTTGCCCTGCTCAGAGCAAGGGTCCCTAATTCTAGTTTCAGCTGCATGCATTATGGAGAAGTCACCTCCTCTCTCTAAGCCTAGGTCCCCTCACCCGTCACGTGGGATTAAAAAGAGGGGAGTGCTCAGCACGGTGTCTGGGGCGTAGTAGATGCACTTAAGCAGATGCAGGGCGCTTAGCAGCCTGGGCTTTCCAAGACCCAGTAAGACTAATAATAACTACTTAAATACAGAAGATATTTTCCAGTTCTGGGCCTGCTTCTTGCACACTCGCTATCAAGGAAGAGGAAATGCGGTATCTGAGAGTATTTTTCCAGCACCGATTAAGCACCAGAGCTGCTGGGTGCCGGGACCCTTCACCGAAATGAGCAGCAGCCTCACTTTGGGGAAGCAGGGACCGCAGACACGTAATAAAATCCAGTTACAGCTTTCCCCTCAAAAACCTTACGTGCTGGAGGAGAGCAAGGCCAAAGCCGAGGCGAGCTTCCTGTGCACGTCCCAGGGTCCCCAAGCAGTGCACCCGGACCCAGAGCCTCTAGGCTGGCGTGGCCGGGGCAGGGAGAGCCCAGCCTGTGGCACCTGAATTGATCTAAAAATAAAGGTGTCGGCGGGCAGAGCTGCAGCTGGGCTGGGGCCGGGCGGGGTGGCGGGCTCCGCTCCCTTGGGTATGCAAAGTTCTCATGAGTTTCCCCCTGCCCCCTTTGGGCCACTCGCCGCACTTCAAGTCCCTGTCGACATCACCGGAAAACACATGGGGGGGGGGCGGCTCAGGGGGCAGGCCTGGGCCGAGCTAGAGACGCCCCTCGGATCCTAGTCCTGAGGACTACTCGGGACAAGGGCCCCCCCTCCCCAGGTCTGCCGTTCCCGAGCCGCATGCTTCTGGCCATGTCCGCCAGGGGCTCTGAGCCCCATCTGTAAAGTAGGGGGGGAGAGCACCTCCCCAGGTCTGTCTGAGAACTCACGGAGACACTGCTCCGAGACAGCAGCGCCCAGGCCAGCACAAGCAGCGAAGGCCTGGTAACATCTAGAACCCTCCCCTCTCTCCACCTCGTGACCCTCTCACCCCGGGACCCCCCAGAATACAGGGCAGGAAGGGCTCCTACACGTGCCCTCGATCAACCTTCCAATGCGGGCCAGTCAAGGCCGGGAGAGGTATGGTGCTGGCCCAGGATTCTGTTCTCACTAACCCACGCTGGGTCACGACTCGGCGGTGCTTAAGTAGAAAGAAGGAGCTTTACGCATATCTTAGGGAGACTCAGAAAAAATGTCTCAACTGCCACTTCTTCCAAATTTCTGAGAACACCAAGCCTAAGTCAGAGGGCATTGGGACGAGAAAATAGGGGCATCGCTACGAGGTCCTCTCAGAGGGGTGGTGGCACTGGGGGGGCAGGGATGAGACGGCAGCACGGATGACTTAGTGTGCTCGGGAAGAACCCTAGGTCGACCCCAGACAGAGCCTGCCCCGCAGCAACCCTACAACCCTAACCACGTAATCCGGCCCAAGGACCCGGAAAAGGGTGTGGAAGCACCCCACGTGGTAACCTCACAAGGCAAAGACGAGGCCTGTGCACCTGAAAACCTTTCCTGCAATACGGTCCACGCCACGTGGCTGCTGATATGTCACGTGGTCTCTAAAGCGTGAGCCGTGCCTGCGCAGACGGGTTCTCGTGGCTGCCGCTCCGCAGAGGGCGTGCCCGCGCACCGTGGCTGTGTCCCGAGGCCCAGGAAATCTCTCTGCCTCGGTGGTGGTGGGCTCCTTTACCAGTTGCCCTCGGCGGCGGGGGGGGTTCACGTGGAAGCCGCTGACTCGTCCTCTGTGTCCTGCAGGTTTCTACTCTCTGTCCGTGAGACACCGGCAGGTAAAGCATTACCGAATCTTCCGCCTGCCCAACAACTGGTACTACATCTCGCCCAGGCTCACCTTCCAGTGCCTGGAGGACCTGGTGAACCACTATTCCGGTAAGAAGCGCTCCCACAGGAGCGGTCTGTGGGGCCTCTTTGCTAACTGTCCTGGGGCGCCCTCCATCCAGGGTGCTCCTGGGTCCCGTGCACGTGCCGGGGGATGTACGCTGCTCTCTGCGCCTGCTGCCTGCTCCGCATGCTCTTCTCCTGTTCACTCAGACTGTAAACTTCAGGCTAAGCCAGGCTGCCTGCAAATGCCGCCTGAGTGAGTGACACACAGCTGATGTCGTGTTCGCCCTCCCTCTGCCTGTGAATGAAAGCAGCCAGGGTGCCCCAGTGCTCACAGCCACAGACGGCTGGGACTTCCTGCAGCGGGCCACGCACTGGCAGGCCTCTGGGGATCTGTTCTGAGATGCGGCTCATTTCCCCTTTTCTGCAAGTCAGAATCCTCCTCGGCCTTCAAGGGTTAAGAGTCTCTGCTCCAGCAGATGCCAGGGTTCTTAGAACTCCGCTCGCTCTGCCCGGAGGCCCCGTGAGCTGTGCTCTGGCCTGTGTTCCCCAGCGAGCTCTTAAGGACCAAGGGCTGTGCTTCACTCACTCACGTGCCCCTCCTGGGCCCGGCAGAGGGGTTGGAATGTCCCATGCGGACCAGGGCGGGGCCGCCTGCCAAGACGGCAGAAGCAGAGCGAGGACCTGGACGGAGGAGAAGGGCGAGCGTGGAGGTGGATGAGGAAATCTGAGTCAGACTGAAGGGCCGGAGCGCCGGGGCAGGAGCTGGACTTTTCCCTGATGGAAAGCGGGGAGATAGGGAAAAGCCGGCTGCGTTCCTAAACCTGGGTCCGGAACCTCTGTGTTCGTGTCCCGGGCCTCCTGGGCAACCCTGGGCTGGTGGTTCAGCTCTGCGCCTCCTTTTCTTCTCTGTGTCACGGGGACGCCAACTGTCCCTGCCTCGGGGCACCGCACGACTCAGAGTTAGTGCGTGCCAAGTGCCGGGGCTCCCACTGCCCCTCAGCCGGGGCGGCCCCTGCCCCTGCTTCCCTGAGTGTTGGACAGAGAGGGAGAGAGGAAGTTGCCTTCGCTTTGCTAGTGTCTCCCCCCTTACGGGTTCAGAAGGTCCGGCCTCACACGCCAGGGATCTTCAGGGCATGGGGTCTTTCGGGGAGAAAGGAAGAGGCCGCCGGGCCCGGGTTATTGCCCGGAGCCTGTGAGAAGTGCGGGTCACGAGCGAGGTGTGGCGGCATGGGGAATGCAGGCCGAGCTCAGATGGGGGCTCTGGGGGGCCCCGGAAAAAACCCTCCACCTCCCCTGGACGCAGCTCCCCACTCACAGAAGGTGGACGCAAGCAGCCCTCAGTTGTAGTGATTGCTGCGCACGATTATTCGTGTACTGCGGGCGTCACAGCCTGGCATGCTGCGGGTGCGATATAAATGATAACAAGTATTATCTCTGTGATACCCGAAAACCCAGCAGCTTGGCTAAAAATGAAAGAGGAAGGGAGTCCTGGAAACAGTCAGCTCTTACTGATTATGAGTAAAGATTGGTTGTGGTATTTGGCTTTTAATAACAACCATATGAGCGGTGTGCAGACCATGAGTTTTGCATAGGCAAAAGCAAACACGGAAAGGACGCCACCCCAGCGAAGCTCTCACACACAGGGTGGTCCACACGGCTTCCAGGCCAGGGTCACCTACGCACGGCGCACAGCACGGGGCGGGGCCTTCCAGGACTACCCGCCAGCCGCCGCATCAGCTAACAGACTGCAGCCATCCATTCACCCCTGCGAGTAACTGAAAAAGAACTGAAACCCTAAAATGCTTCCTGTGCCTCTCAGGACCCCAACGTGGGGAAACAACATGGGCAATTTCACCTCCCACCACCGTCTTCCTCAAGGCACAGAGCCAGAGCAGCTGTGCATGAAGGGGCTGCTTTTACTCAGTACCCTGGTGCCCTGGGGCAAATGACGTCACATCTCGAAGGCTCAGTCTCTTCAACTATAAAATGGGGATGAAAATGCCTCTTATGGGGCTGTTGCTAGGGCCCCCAAACATCATGCAGGCGAAGCATCTGGTGTCTGAAGTGCCCCGTGCGCGGTGGTGATGGACAGAACAGAGAGGGTGCATGCCGTTGACACAGGGCCACAAAAATGCAGGCGTGGGAGAAGGGGACCCTGGAATGCGGAGCTGGAGCTCAAAGGCGTGAGACCAATGAGTGTTCTAGAGAGTTCCGCAGGCAGGGAGAATCAGAGGAGCGTGTCCGGGCCCCAGAAGCCGCACAGGGGTTCTCTCTCCCCCATTGTGGAGGCAGTGGGCTGCTTTGGGAACAGCTGCCTGGTTCTGAGTCCGCGTGACAGTTCGGGTCCCACCTCTGTGCCCTTGGGCAGGTGACTTGACCCCAGGGTCCGCAGTCTGGGAGTCGCCATCCTGACTGCTCAACAATGAGGGCCCCGCAGAGCTGACGCGTGAGGGGCCAGCGCAGCACCGAGCTCGGGCAGGTGCTCACAAGCACCGGCTCCTTTCCTCTCTGCCGAGCTTTCTTTCTCACCGCAAGGACCGGCCTTCCTGAGGCAGGACCGGGTCCGAGTCCCCCGCCTGGGCTGTGCAAGGCCACTGCTTTCTTCGGTCCTCCTGGCTCACCTAGTGCGTCCCCCGCCCCGACCTGGGAGGCCATCCGATTCCCGGCCCGTGACCGGCGGTTAGTTCAGACCCACACCCACTTGAGCCCCCTCTGACCTTGGGGTCCAGTCCCACAGTCCGTGGGGCGGCGTGGGCGGGCGCTCGGGTTGCTGGTGAAAGGCAGGCCGGACGCCGGAACAAGGCGGCGTTACCAACCGCCGCCCTCTGACAGCCGGGGCTTGCTCGCTCGCCACCACTGCCCGTCATTCTGTGGCGCGGTCACCCCTGGCCTCACTCCGCGAGTGAGACGGGAGGTGGAGACACCCACTGCTGTAACGTCCTTCCTAAAACCTGGCGACGGGTTCACTGGAGCCAGGGTGCCGTGTCCCACTGGAGGCCAGCAGCCCCCGGCACCCTTGGCCGGCCACTCCACTGCCTTGTGACCTGAGAGCGGTGGGGTCGCAGCCGGAGGAAGCCCACTCGGAATCTGCCCCATTTATCGGAATGTCTGAGCACAGCCAGAATCCACCTTTCCCACCGTGACACGGGCTGGGAGAAGGCTTCCGAGAGAGACGGAGGCTACATCCTAACGCTCCTGGGAAGGGGAGGGACCCTGGAAGCCGAGACCCGCTACCCTAGCTGAGGGAAGGAAGAAACGGACTTAATCTTCATGCTCGTTGTGCACGAGTATCTCCGGGAAAGAGGAGAGGGTTTTGTTCACTTCTCATGCCGCCCCCTTTCTCTCTTTCGCCTCGCATCTTTGTTTTTCTCCTCCTCTTCTCTGCCTCATATCTTCCTGGATCTGTCTTCACTTCCTCCTCTCCTTCCTCTCTCTCTTGCTTTCCTCTTCCCTCCCTCCTTTCCTCCCTCCTCTCTCTTCCTTCCCTGTCTTCTTTCATTGTTTCTTTCACCTTCCTTTCTTCCTGCACACGTGTCCAGCCCACGGTGTGTACGGAATGCTGTTCTGTGTGCTCTGGGAAAGCCAGTGTTGCACAGAGGCCCCACCCCACCCCCCTGCACTGCCCCGCACACAAGAGTTTCACCGACGTGGATGGGGCTCTGCGGAGGGTCCCTCAGCCCCACCTCCTACGCCGGCCGCAGCACCTCGGCGTCACTGACCGGTGGTCTGTTTCCCTCCTCAGAGGTGGCCGACGGCCTCTGCTGTGTGCTGACCACACCCTGCCTGACTCAGAGCACAGCTCCCCCCGCGGTGAGAGCCGCCGACTCCCCCATCACCTTGCGCCAGAAGACCCTGGACTGGAAGAGGGTGTCCAGGTGCGGTGTCTGTGTGTGTTGTATGTGTGTTGTGTGTGTGTCCTCCATAAACACACGAGCCTGCCACATGGAAACCAGGGCCAGTTACAGCTGTCCCTGCTGAAACGTGACGGAGGGCACGCTGAGTGGCCCCTCCATCTCCCAGGGGACAGACCCCTGGAGTCCCCCTGTCCCCTGGGAGGCAGAGCAGCCTTGGGCCTCACGCAGCAGGTGGCACGACCCTAGGCACTCCCCGCCAGGGCCCCCCGCCCCCCAGTTCTGCAAGCATTTCCCAAGTCCCGATTCAGGGTGAGCAGGGTGTCTTCTAGCTGAAAGATACCATCTTTGTTTTTCTAATTGTTAGGATCCCAGAAAGTAATGCACACATAAATCTTGTCTAGATTTAGTACTATTTTAAACTCATGGAGAAAGTTGAAGCATACCAGCAAAATCCTGAGGCAGCATCAGTTTTTTTAAACAAAAACATCTTCCACTCCTTTGTTTTCTTTGAGTGTCAGCGTTCGCATTTTAGGGACCTGTGTGGCTGTGGACTGGTGGGTTGTCCTACTAACTGAATTCGATCTGGACATCCCACTGGCAAATGCAAAGAAAACGAGAGGTCAGAACTGCCTGAGAAATAAACAAAACTGCTCCTCCTTATAATACAAATATTCACTAAAATTCACAGACCTTTTAGCCATCTAAGGACATGGTGGTTCAGAGGGGTTAAGTGATTTACCCAAGATCACACAGCCACACATGTAAGAAGCAGAGTTAGAATGGTAAGCTAGTGAAATACTAACCAGGCTCTTTCTTCTTCTTTTTCTTCTTCTTCTTCTCCTCACCCTCTGGCCCTCCATCCCTCTACATCCCTCTCTTTCTTCCTTTCCTCTGCCCCGCCCCGTCTCCCCACTCGCAGACTTCAGGACGACCCCGAGGGGGCAGGGAACCCACTCGGCGTGGACGAGTCCCTTTTCAGCTACGGCCTCCGGGAAAGCATCGCCTCCTACCTGTCCCTGACCAGCGAGGACAGCGCCCCCTTGGACCGCAAGAAGAAGAGCATCTCCCTGATGTACAGCGGGAGCAAGAGGAAGAGCTCCTTCTTCTCGTCGCCGCCCTACTTTGAGGACTAGCCGGGGAGCCGCCGCCACGCCGTGTGCCCGGAAGGAACAGAGGTTCGGACTCGCACCTGGGCTCCCACCGAAAAGCTCGCTTCCCTGGGCTCCCCCCGGGGAGCCTCGCGTCTCCCAGGAGCCAAGAGAAGCTACGGGAGACTCCCACTCCCACCTTCTCCGTCCACATGAAGACCTGGGGGACCGACCCTCTCTGGTGTCTGACCGGTCCTGGGACGTCACAGAACGTTGACTTGCGATGCCTGGACGCGGCCGTGTTTTGGGAGAGTCCTGCTAGAGTGCTGTATGTGTGCGCCCGCGGTGTTTGTGGGACAGACAGGCACCCTCTCATCGGAAAGCACACCAGGACCATCCTCTGACCGACTGTCCAGATGGCCACACTCTGAGCTCACAGAGAAAACCTCTGAATGAGAAGCGTCTGAGAAGAAGATGAGCCCAGGCTGTGTCCTGGCCCAGCGTCTGGGTTTGCAAACTGGTCTTGCGCCTGGAACTCTCTCAGCCAATCCACAGAGAGGCCTTTGGTGTGCATCTTCTCTCTCTTTAAGGGGACTCGGTGACACTAAACATTCACCTTCCTCATCAGCCCTGAATCAGGAGATCCCTTTGCCCTGCTGGTCCCAAAGCCACACATACAGAAGTCAGATGGCCTCCCTGCCTCCGCTGGGGGCAAGGCAAGCAGGAGAGGGGGAGGCTGCTGGCTGGGGGGCGCAATGCGGGGCCTGGAACCGTGCGAGCTTGTACCACGTCCCAGCCACGGCTTTGCGGCTCAGAGAGAGCTCAGGGGCACGCGGAGGTTCACGCCTAAATTAATGCATCGGCGGTTCACTCACGACTGCCTGAAGAGGCACTGCGTTACGTCCTGTGTGCGGTGTCGGGCCGAGAAACCAGAAAACGAGAGAGGGAAGGGTGACTGAGCCCCGGGTCCCGGCAGAGGCAGCCACGGCGTGGACTAACAAATACTGTGCACGTGGGGTGGGAACACAGAAACCAGCTCCTGCTTTGGGGGAGGGGGAGGACAGCGGTCAGGTGGGGGTGGCCCAGGGGCTCACGTTTCAGCCAGACCTTCAGAGACTGGAAGTCTCGGCCGGACTGAGGAGGTCAGAATGGTTGGATTTAAATATATATATATAGGGAACTGGTAAGTTCTAAAGAATTCAGCCCATCTGGTATTTGAGTCTAAGGGTCTGGCACCCACATGAATAAAAGTGCGGAGCTCCAGGGAAGGAGGGAGCCGGAGGGGCTGCACGCTCTCTGCGTCACTGAAGAGACGGCGGCGGAGAGGCGCAGTCCAGCGGCCCTGCAGGACACGCTGCGTCTGCGGGCCGCCCCCGGCCCCCGCTAGCAGGGAGGCTGCAGAGGCAGCCGAGACTCGTTTCCCTCTCTGCAGAAGGGCTCGGGGGAGGGCGGGCACACGTGGTGTCCCTCGCCGCCCCATGGAAGCCTGCCTGCCCGCCACACGCGCATTCCGTAGCTCTGAAGTCACCGCACTCGCGGTGTGTGTGCGCGCGCGTTTCCAGGAGCTTGCGTGTCGTCAGATTCCAGAGTGTCTGTAGACGGAGACGTGTGTGGTTTCCGCCACAGTCCCCGAACGCTGCTTCAGAGGGACCGGCCAGCACACGGGAAGTGGACGCGACACTGCGGACGCTGGCGTGACCTGCACACGGCAGAGTGACCCCGCGCGCCCCAGATGTTCGCGCAGCGTCTCCCGGGCTGTTTTCCGTTGCGACTCCTGCGGGCGGAGCGTGTGGGGGGGACTGGGAGGGGTTTCTAGGTGGGAAGCATTAAGTTTTGCTAAATCATGTATTTATTCCTGATTAAAATAAACCTAACGCGTATTTAACCCCTGGAGCGTACGGAGAGCTTCCTGGGCGGGCTGGGCGCGTGGCTGATTCGGCAGCTCCTGAGGGTCTCAGATTCCCAGAGACTCTGACAACTGGAAAGGGGATAAAACACGAAACAGCTGGGGAAACCTCGCCGACTGGTATCCCAGCTGCTCCTTGAGGTGCAGCCTTGAGCAAACCAGGTGTTACAACTTATCACACCTGAAGGGGGACAGAAAAACTCGGTGGTGGGTATGAGACTTCTGTCTCGCCTGGACACCTCCCTGCATCCCTTGTGATACCCCTGCAGTTTGTTCTCCCAAGAACTGCCTTCCCCAAGTATCTCTGCACACCTATTAAGCACCAGACACCGCTCTGGGTGCTGGGGCTGCCGCCATGACCAGCGGACGAGGTGTCTGCTCCCCCAGAGCGTGATGTCGCAAACAAACAAGGACACTTCACTATGCGGGAAGGGGCACCGGCTGCCAGACTGGCGAGTGACCCGTGGGGGCATTGCTTAATCTGCTGCTTAGGAAAAGCGCCCCCCCGGGGGGGGTGGGCATTGGAGCCAAGGCCCAAGAGATGGGAAGCAAAGAGCCAAGCCAAGACCAAGGAAGAGTACTGGGGGCGGTGGGGTTGGCGAGGTGACTTCTGAAGGTGGGGTGCTGGGGCTGAGGGAGGGGTGAGGGGCTCTCAGAGCGGGGTGGGCAGGTCCAGCAGGGCCTGGACTGGACGGGAAGGGGCGTAGGGTCTGTTCTGGGAGAAACGGGAACCCCCTGGAAGGGTCGAAGCAGGGGAGTGACATCATCTCGGTTCTGTGCTTCACAGAGCACCCTGGCCGCTGGGCAGAGAATGGATTTTCAGAATTCCCACGTTCCATTCTCTACCTGACACGCGGTTAAAATGAAAGGCTGTGGAGTTTGAAAATAAAGGGGTGGCGATGCTCCCCTGCAAAAATGAACAGAAGGGCCATCTGCTGAATGCTGAGACACAGTGAGATTCAGGGGAAAATTTGCCTTCGCCCACGGGCGGGGAGAGACTGACGATGGGAACGATACATGAAGGAGATACAATGAGTGAACCCACATTAATCTAACACAAGCTTCGAAATATGTTAAGCAACTATTACAGGGACAAATACATAAGTCAATCATTTTATTTGGGGATTTTAACACAACTTTCAGAAACGGATAGATTAAATAAAGGTTAAGTAAGTAGATGATTCCACTCACACTACATAACTTCCCTGCCGACAAAGGATACATTAGGCCACAGAGTAGTAAGTCTGAATAAATTTCAAGAGTCAACCTCCTCTAATTCGTGTCCTATGGTAATAATGCAATAAATCAATTTGCATTAGGATATCAACTTACAAAAGGATAGGTAAGAATTTCATGTCTCTAAAAGCTAAAAAAAAAAAGAACAACAAAAAGTAAAAATACCCTAAGGAAGACACAGGACTTGGCTTTCGGTTCTAACCCCTAATGCAGTTCCTTCTTTGCTGTGTGTTCTTTAGGAGGTCACTAAACCTCTCTGAGCCTTGGATTTCTCATCTCCAAATGGCCGTTTAAAAAACACTGAGCGTGAATCAATGTGAGGAATCTCTGAGGTCATACCCTCCAGTTCTGTAAGGCCCCGAACACACTAAACAAATGAATACAAGTTATTAGTTACCATGGGAGTCTGTCTCACCTGCTAGTCCTACAGCTCTGGCCCCAGGACTTGCAGAACGACAGGGTTTTACAAGAGTCTATCGCCAGCTTGCAGCCACCCCCCGCGCACCTGCTGGAAGAGAGCACTTGAAGAGCTGCTAATACGTGGACGCGCTTTAGTTCCCTGGATTCCAGATCATTTCACATGCATCGCAAAGACTGCTGGGAGCAGTTGTAAAAGCTTCTCCTAAATGACTGGAACAGATGGCGCGTTTATTTTTAAATACACTACCCATTTGTTAAAACAGATTCGTTTTAGAAATTCCCCAAACACCTAAGCGCTCCAGGATTTTCAAAAAGGAAAAGTCTGCCTTCTGAGCCTACTAGAAGACAATGTCTGTGTCTCCTGGGTCCCGCCGAGTGTCTGGCTTCTGAGGGGGCCCTGGGGAAACACCTTCAGATCCACGCGAAGTCAGGAAGGTCTGCCTTCAGTCCCAGAAGCTGAACGCTGGCTGGGCTCAGACCTCCTGCCCCAAAAATGGAGCCCCCTGCAGAGGGACCGGCTGAAGAAAACTGGAATCAAAGCACAAAAGCACATGCGAGGGGAGGGAGGGAGGGAAAGGAACTAGCCCGCGGGTCCCCCATTCATCTGCGCGCCCGTCCCCTGCCCCGATGTTAATTATGCACGTTACAGTAAGACAGCTGTGCTGGGTGCTTGGGGCCCCACGGAGAGCAAGGCACACGGGCCCGGTTCTCCTGGAGCTCACGGTCGTGGGAGGGGGGCGGGCTCGGCGGTAGGAATGGCCGTGCACTGGTGGGAACCCACGAGGAACGCTGCACAGAGAAGCACGGGTGGCCCGGGCCGACACAGGGGGTCTGACTCTAAGCCGAAGAGCCCAGCAGGGCTGCCTGAAGGACAAGCAGGGCGGACAGAGAGGAAGACGGCGGACGGTGCCTCCCGCAGAGGGAGGCGCCTGCACGGGGCAGGATGGGTCGTGGACTCCACGGAACGAGAAGGACAGAGATGACGCGGCAGGCGGGAGGCACGTACGGCTCCTGGTCGGGGACGGTGCCGGTGCTGACCGAACACCGCCACCCCTAGTCTCTCTGCCCGAGCACCGGCTTCGACCCCAGGAGGGCCGGGCAGAGCCGCAGGGGTCTGCCCGCTGGTCTGTGCACGAGTCCCAACGGCCTCCCTCTCTCCCCGAGTCGTGTCACTTCACAGTCGCCCTCTCTGCCGGCTGCACGGCCCCCCTCCACTCACCCGCCCCCCCCCCCCCGCTCTAAGAGGAGTCTCCCTGAAGGGAAGCAAGTTTCCCGCCTGCTTCCGAGGGTCACGGCGGCACGGTTCACGGAAGCCCAAAGGTAGGCACCACCCCAGTGTCCGTCGACAGAGAATCGAAAAACAGAACGTGTCCGTACGCGCCATGGAGTATTACTCAGCCTTAAAGAGGAATGAGATGCTGATAATAAACTGCAACGTGGCTCATGGATGAACCTGCAGACATCCTAGGTGAAATGAGCCGGGCAGGAAAGGACACATCTTGTGTGATTCTGCTGACGCCGGGCACCTGGACAGGCAAGTCCGCAGAGACGGGAAGCAGAGCAGTGGTCTCCGGGGGCTGAGCAGGAGGGTGGGGGGAGAGGTGGTTTCACGGGCACAGAGCTTCCGTTTGGGACCATAGAAGGTCTGGACATGATGAATGGTGCTGACCACACACCCGTGTAAATGGACTTCACACTCCTGAACTGTACTCTTAAAAGGGATTAAGACGGTAAACCGAACCAAACAACAAGCGAACAAGCAAAACCGTTTAATGACAACGGCGCCCATGTGCTTGGGATGAACCCCAAGGGGGTCAGCACAGTCCAGCCGCTCTGTGTCCCCCGCCCCTCCCCCCATGACTGCCCAAGAAGATCCGTCCCCCACGGCATCTCAGGGCGCTGCAGATCTCAGCCTAGAGTCAGGCGGTCCCCGGGCACAGGACTCCACCGGCACAGCCCTACACTGTCCCCAGCTCCCACCCACACACCATGACTCCTGGGAGAATCACTTCCCAACACCGCCCCCTTCCCCTGTGCGTGGTCGGGGCTTCTCTCGGGGCCACGCCAAGGCCCCCTCTCCTCCTATCAGCTTCAAGTGCTTGCCCCTCACCCCGCAGCTTCCTGACGACTGGGACGCGAGTTACTCACTGTGGCATCTCCAGGGCCTAGCGCAGCACCTACGGAACACCGACGCTCGGTGAAATGGGAGAAGCTGCTCGTGGGTGGGTGGGATGGTGTTCAGGGCTCACGCTGGAGCCAACCGGGTTATTTCTTCCATCACACTTGTCGTCGTCACCAACATTACCTCACGATCATCAGTATCATTACATCATCATCATCATCGTCTCATCATCACCACCAGCACCTACCAGGTGCTGCAGGCCATCCAGCAGACTTACGAGTGTTGCATTCTACCTTTGCTTTCATTCCACAGTCAGGAAGGCAGGTGGGTGAACCTTGGGCGCTCTGGGCCCCGCCTGGGGCAGCCGGCTCAGCTGCCTGCCGCTCCCTGAACACGCACGCACGGGGACAGGGACCGTCAACGAGGGGAAGGGGCTAGTGAGAGTAACGAGTCGCCCAGCGCCGTCCGACGGTGAAATGCCATCGTAGGACGGCATCGGCACTCCCACGCTGTCCTACGTGCAATGCAATCGTGGGGAGGGGGGCCGGGGTGGAGCATGGGCCGGTGAGGAAACGAGCCAGCGTAAGGGAAGATTCGGGGTTCGAACCCGGAGATGAGGAGAGCAACCCTGGGGGGCGGACGCGAGTTCTCTTGGTCTGACTTCTCTCCTGTTTGGGGGTCGCCGCCAGGTGCAGTGAGCACAGTGCTGGCCATCCTCTACCCTCAGCGTTGACTTCCTCCACCAGCTGCACCGAAGGCCTCTCATCCTACACCCCGTCCCCCCGCTGGGGCCCACGGACAAGGGAGGTCGTGGAGAGGTCAGACCACGAAACTGGAGCGAGGCTCCCCCGCCTGGGGTTAGCAGCACTTGAGGTGTGAGTGGGCAGCCCCTGGGGAGCCCCTCGGCACGCGGGCTCACACGTACGTGCAGAGACGGCCGTGAGCAGGACGCACACCCAGAACACAGGACGAGGGGATCCGACCGCTGGAAGCCAACCGGCCTCAACAGACGGGAAGGACCCGCTCGCCCGGCGGCACCTGCGGCAAGGTGACCGCGGGACGGCTACTCACCATCAGCACGGCTCTCCGGAAGAGTCTGCGGCTGCCGGCCCCGGTGGTCAGGAGGTGCATGCCAGCCACGTCAGCTCCGCCGCGGTCGGCTGCCACGGCCACGCGCCGAGGGTCCCCGCCAAACGCGCCGACGTGGGCCCGCACCCAGGCCAGGGCCGCCGCCTGGTCCAGCAGCCCCCAGTTGCCGCTCACCTCGTCGGACCCTTCGGAAAGAGGAGAGCCTTTTCGTTGTTGTGATTTTGCGACTGAAATTTATCCTGGTGCAGTGCAGGCCACCCACGTGGTGTCTCTGGGGGTGGGGAGGACCTGGATGTCTATCCACACAGGTTGGGACCGGGGTTCCAGATACAGTGTGGCCAGGGGGAAGGGCACGGGCTCGGGGATCAGAGCCACCCAGGCGTGGGGTTAGACGACCTTGGACACGTCTCTGCACCTCCCTGGACCACAGCTCCCCCGTCTGAGACAGGCGGGGGCTCAGACCAGAGGGCAGCTGGCTCGGTCCATCAGCGGGGAGGAGATGACGCCCCCCCCCCACGTCTCCCCCCACTGCCGGCGGCCCTCCACGCCCCTTCCCCCCAGCACTGGCCAGGCCCGACCGATGGTGGCTCTGGACCCCCTCCTCCCACGGCCTCATCTTCCGTGACCTTTAGTTGCCCTGAGCTGAGCTGACCTCACCTTCCTTTTTTCACAGACGTCAGTAACTCTATCCTGAAAGCTCGGCACTATTTTTTCTAATGGAGTGAATCAAACACACACACACACACACACAGCGCCCTGCCCTACCTAAAATCTCCCATCTCGTCCCATTGTCCCTGGGACACGGTCTCAGTTTTCGCAGCGTACTCCAGGCGCTGTGGGACGGGGTCACACTCCCAGCCCGCGCCTGTGCCGCGGCCTCCCCGGCTTCCCGCCAGTTGCTCAAACGCTCGGCGCCACCCTCTCCCAGGCCTGGGGGCACGTGGGTGGCCTCGGCCCAGGGCCCTCGCCCTTTCTTCCCTCCCTTCCCCCTCTGGCCCAGCCCTCCCTCCGGTCTCAACTGCACCCTCGGTTCACAGGCGGCCGTCCCTCAGGTGGAATAAGGCTCCCCTTTCAGGGTACTGTCCCCGAGGCCTTCCAAGCGAGGCTGAGCCCCCACTAAAACCAGTGACACGTCTGTCACAGGTGCTCAGTAAATGGCAGGCGACTGAAGGACCACGGTTAGGAAGAACAGGACTCGGTGTCCAGTGAGGAACTTGACCTCTGTATTCCTGGAGAAAAAAATCTCACATCCCCATCCCCAGCTGGTACCCCGGAGCTGACGAGAACGCAGGCTCAGGGGACGGAGCAGCAGGAATTTCCCTTCTCGCTGGGGAGACTTGCAGAACTTCCCCCAGTGCTCTCCACGAGCCAGGGTTGGAGTGCCACCGCCACCACCCTCGCTGGGGACTTCTGCATCTGCCAGGACGAATGCGTTTGCTTCCAAGGCCTCAGGCAGGGCCAGAAAGCGGGGCGCCCACTGAGTCGGTCCAGCCCTGCCAGTCCGGGAAGTGCCATCCACGGCCTGCACGTCCAGTGACGATGGGAGTGTGGGGAGGGCGGTGCTCACTCTCGCTTCCCACCTCTCAGCCTCCCACTCGCATGACAAGGGCCAGTGCTGACACGGTGGGGTCTACGGACCCTCAGGACGCCAGGAGTGAGGCCGCGCTCAAGGGGCTGCCCTCGGTCAGACATGTCTGGGTTGGACCGGACCTCACGCCAGGCAGTATGTTAGGCACGGCAGAGGGCGAGACAGACAAGAGGCTGACCCTCAGCCCACGCCGCCTCAAGCACAGGCACAGAGGGCCGCCACCCAGCTGGTCCCAGACGCACACCAGCCCCACCTTTTCCTTCACTGGTGAGGGACCGAGACGTTGAGGAGGAAAGAGTTTGCTTAGGTGCCAATCTGAAATGAAGTTCAGACTTAAACTCCCATGCACACTCGGAACTTCTTGTCCTGACATACCATCCAATTCAACAAACATTTGCTGGAAAGCTACATGCACGAGGCACTGTGTTATTTTCATTAAAAAATCAAAGCGCTCTATTTATGGAACTTTCTCTGCGCCAGAGCCTTCGTAACCCCCTCCTTCCTGCTGCGTCGAGTCCAAACCTCCCCTCGGCTCTTCAGACCGTCTCCAAGCAACGCCGGCCCGTGTGAGCGGCCGGGGGTCCCTGGGTCCAACGCCGGCCCTCGCCTGCCGCCTGGGCCCCCTCACCGCGTCCACGTTCGCTCCCCTACAGTCCAGCTGAGGCTGGGCCCCGAGTCCCCTCGTTCTCAGGGCCCCGCGCCCACCCCACCCGGCTCGGCCCACCACAGACATGCGTTGCCAACGCTTGCTTCCTCTGCTCCCCCTCCCAGAGGAGGGCCTGCAGGCACTCCCCAGGGCACCTGAGTTCCCTTTGACCCCGCAGGCTGCCACCCCCGGTTACCTCGCTGTGCGGCTCTGCCGGAGAGAGAAGGGCAATCACGATCCCCTCTGCCCCCGGGGCCCCTCCCTCCTGCAGGGTTCGGCTGGGGGATCGGCCTCTCCGAGCCCAGCACTGACCCCTCACTGCCTCCCCGAGTGTGAGTGCTCAGCTCACCAGGGGCCGCGGCTCCCTGCTGGGTTTGGCCGCCTGGTCCAGCAGAGAGCAGGGGTCTGGCCAGCGGGCCACACAGAACTGGGGCCAGCGTGTGTGGGCACCTGGCTCCCACCGTGCTCCTGGGGCCTGGGGGTCTTGGGGCGCTGCCTGCGCTCTGGCTGAGCCACCAACGCCATGCACATGTGCCCAGCGAGAGGACGCACGTCACCACTGGTGGATTTCAGGGAGGGACCGCAGCGTCCCCCAGGCTCCCCTCTGAGTTCCCAGGAAAAGATGCGACATCCCAGGAAGGGTTGGGGGATGCTAGGAGGTCTAGCAAATACCGCAGAGAAAAACGGCCGGAGGAGAGAGGAATGTGAAAGGCCGACCCAACTCTGTAAGCCCAAAGCCTGTTGCTAGACACCCGTGGGAAGGGGCCTCAGCGTGTTCCTTCTGATGTGACCACCGGGGTTTATCAGCCAGCACGCCACTCCGAACCGCGGGGCGCAGCGCTCCCTGCCCTCTCGGGGCCTCGCGGCCGAGCCTGTGCATCGCCACACAGCGCTGGCCTCACAGGGGGTGCGTGCCCTGGGGGTGACACACGCTCACGCAGGCCAAGGGCTCGGTGAGCGGAGCTTTCCTTCTCTCGGGCCGATGGCTCTAAGCGCAGTGGACAAGGCGCACTGCGAATCAGGACGGGAAGGGCTGAGTGTCCTGGGAGTTCCCTTGGACTCCTGCGCCGGTGTCCCGCCGGCCGCTGCAGAAATGAGTTTCCCTTCCCAAAAGCACACAGTTGTCAGTGAGGCTGCAGCCCATGCAGTCAGAACCCGCCACCCACTCGGGGACAGGCGACATATGGAAATTCTCTCTTCCGTCTGGGCGTGCTCCAAGCCAGGAAGCCGCCACGCCGGCGGCCAGCTGTGCCCGACCGCAGCTCACCGGGAGGCGGCCTGGGTTCCACTGCTTCGGGGAAAGGAGCTGCTGGCCCCGAGTGTTGTCAGTCAGCTGGGGCTTTGGAAGGGAAGAAGGCCCAGGAAAAGCGTTTTCAGAGTGCGAGCGGCTGACTCTGCTCTCCCAAAGGAGCTCTGAGGTCTGCTTATCGTCCACGTCTCCCGTCTTGGCAGCTGGCGGCTCTCTGTCTTGACTTGTTGCCGGTTTCACGTTGGCTGTGCAGGCCCAGAATCTTCTTTGTGGCACTCCCGGCCTCATGCCGGCTGGCCCATCCGCCCTCATGCCCAGCACCCCAAGGGGTCACGCTGGATGCCCAATCCCCCGCCCACATGCTAGTCCAGGCTGTCCTTCTGGTCAGACTCCCTTCCACCCACCAGACCGCTCTCAGCAGGTGAGGCACCCTGGGGGTTAAGTGGGGTCCCGGGAGGACAGAGACAAGCTCAGGGCCCGTCCTGGAGGTCTCGGAGAGCCCTCTCCTGCGTGCTACCTCGCTCGAGTCTCACAGCAGCTTTGGAAGTTGGGTAAAACGGTCCTCATTTTGCAGAGGAGGAAACTGAGACTCAGAGAAAGAAAGGGTTTGGGCCAGGGTCACAGAGACAACGGCTGGCTCTTCAAATCCCCAGACTAGCCCGTCGGCCCTGTGCCTAATGCCCGCCCTGCCACTGGTGGGGGCTGGAGAGGGGGAAGATGGGAAAGGAAAACAGGGCACTGGCCCAAGCCGCAGGTCCGCCCCGGGGTGGGGGGACGGGAGGGGGTAGGATAAACATGTCTAAATTGAAGGGACAGGCCAACGTTCACGAGGGAGGCGGGAACTGAAGGGAAAGCACGCTGCTGGTGCAGCCCGCAGTCCCAGGCGGCCGGCTTCCCTACGGGCCCCAGAGCCGATGTACCGCCCACCCGCTGGAGCTCTCCAGGGCGAATCGACCTGGATGAATCCCGGGTCTGCACCTTCCCGACCACGTGAGCTGGAGCGAGTGTCTAACCTCCTGGGGCCGCAACACACACACACACACATGCACACACGCACACACACACACACGCACACCCCCCACATCACAAGGTAAGACATGCAACACCCTTCGGACAGCTTCGGACAGCTTCGGACACAAAGTTCAACTAATGGCAGCTGTCGCCGTGTCCGTGGGTGTCAGCATCCCTGCAGGGCCTCCTGAGCGTGCTGGGTGTTCCCCGGCGTGCTCAGCGGAGCTGGGGGATGAGGGCCAGGGGACCGCGAGGGGATGAGGCTTTGGGCAGAAGGAGCCCCGCTCACACGGAACAAGCCTCGGCTCGGGGATCCGCAGCCCCCACCGACTCACCAGAACTCAGGAAGCCGAAGACGCCCACTCGGTAGCCAGCCGTGACCACGATGAGGTTGCCGACAGCGGCCAGGAAGGAGCCGTCGAGGGCCAGGCTTCCCGCGCCAGCCCGGCCCCCCTCCATGGTGTTGTGGAAGAACACCAGTACGGATGCGTTGGGGGCCTGTGGGGGGGCGGGGGGGAGAAAGAGGGGAGCTGGACGTCGGCCCATTTTCACCCACAGGAGCCTGGCGAGGGGTCCTTTCCCACGCGGGAGCCAGATTCGGAGCCTGCACAGGACTGTTCCCGTCCACCCTGCCCTGCAGGCACACCTGACCCCGCGCTGGGGGCTGAAGTGTGTCCCCCCAGATTCACACGTTGCAGCCCTAACCCCTAGGCCTGAGAATGGGACTGTATTTGGAGACGGGCCCTGTAAAGAGGTGACCGGCTAGTGCTCCCTGACCCAACACGATGGCGTCCTGATAAGAAGAGATCAGGACATAAACACACACCGAGGAAAGACCACCTGGACACACAGGGAGGAGAAGAAGGCCACCTACAAGCCAAGGAGAGTGGCTGCGGAAGAACACCTGGGTCTTGCCGACCTTCATGCCAACACCTTGACCTTGAACTTCAGGCCTTTCAAATTACGAGAAAATAAATTTCTATTGTTTTAAGCCTCTATTTGTAGTGCTTTGTCAGAGCAGCCCAGGCCAGCTGACAAACCCCATTTCACAGAGGAGGAAACTGAGGGTCACAAGAAGCGAAGACACGTGGCCAACACTGCAAAACGCACACGTGGCCGGAATGGCAGCTCACGGCGGACTCGAGGCCCACGTCATGGAGCCACGCAGTCACCCAAGACCCCAGCTTTGGCCACGAGTTTATTCCAGAAGGAGGTTCGGGGACCCTGGTGGTCCTTTCCTTTAGCCTTTCCAACTGAAACCCCATCCTGGTAACGCAGGGCTACCTTGGACTGGACGCTGACCGCCAGCCAGGCACTGTGCTGAGAATTTTATTCATTCAGTCGTCAAACACTCTGTGAGGGGGCGTGCTCCTCGTTTTTCAGATGAGGGAGTGGAGGCTGAGAGACGTGAGGTAGCTCGTCCGAGGTCACACAGCGGCCCGGAGGCAGCAGAGCAGGGCTCTGAGCCCAGGCTGACCCTTTGATACTAGACTGTAGTGTTCCGCCAGGGGGTCCGACATCCCACCCCAGGCCGGGGTATGTGCAAGGCCCCGGGCGTCTCACGCCATCCGGGCCCCGCCTCTGCCCGCTGCGACTTCCCCACTGCACGGGCCGTGGGCTCCGGCGCACCGACAGCAGGTGCTGACCGCAGCCGGACTCGACGGCTGCTGCGCCCACCCAGGACGTCTCCTTGCAGCCACCACCCCACACGGTGGGGACTCTGACGACCACAGGCGGCCCACTCTGGAGGTGTGGGAAGAGGCTCCGAGGGACAAAGCCACTTCTAAAAGAACCTCCGGAAGAGAGGGGGCTGACCCAGAATTCCGACTCTGGGCTCCCCTCCCAGTACACTCTCCTGGGTTCTTCCATCTCTTAGGTGTTGAGTCTTCCATATGAAGACCTTTTCACGTGCTAGAAAAGGGCCGGCTGAGCTGGCCCTGGTCCCACTCGCCGAGGGCTGCCTGACAGGTCGGGGCTGGGCCCTGCGCCCCCTACTGCAGTGCCCTGAGCTGTTGTCACCGGGCAGCACGCCAGCAAGAGGGAAGGCATCCCTGTTTAGACTGCTGCAGCGAGAGTCCATGCGGCGAGGGCCAGGTGTGAGTGGGGGTCCGCCCTCAGCCTCTGAGACCCCGTCAGCTGCCGGCCCCTCCCCCGCAGGGTCTGTCCCCGGGGGGCCCACGCACTGCTGTGGGGTTCCAGGCTACAGCAGCCACACCCCTCCCCCCAGGGCCAGGATCGGGTGACAGAGCAGCTGAGACAGGAATGGCAATGCACTCTGGGACCGGGGACGTCCCTGCAGGAGGGGGCACTGGGTTTGGAGTCGGGAGACGGGATCAAGCCCCCACGCAGCCCGGGCACTGTGTGTCCTTCAGGGTGCACGAGCTGAGCGGGGAAGAGGGAACGGTGCGGGCGGCTGCGGGGGTCGGGGGTCGCTGATGGGCAGTTTTCAGGCTTCGGGACTCACCATGTTCTGAGGGACAAACACGTTGAGGTACAAGCAGTCCTCGCTGACCCCGGACGACGTGGGCGTTCTGATTCCCGGCTGCCAGCAGCTGGCCCTGCAGGTGCAGACTGTCTGACTTCCAGGGAAATGACCACAGAGACACGCCCATGTCCCCTTGCAGCCCAACACCAGCGGCCGGAGCCCCCGCCAACTCCGCAGCAACTAGGCAATTAGTCCCCGAATCCCTGCATGGAGCCGAGCACACCGGCCCCTCCGTCATCACAGGAACTTCATAGGAGCGAGGTCATTCCAAGTCACTGGCATTTGGGGGTTCATCTGCTAGAGCACGCAACACCCCCTTAACCACTCACCTCCCTCCCCATGCACCGCTCAAGTCAGAATGCGCTGCGCTGCCTCCGGGAAATGGGAGACGGGTGGGCAAGGAGAGCCGGGTGCCCACCACTGTCCCCGCCGCGGGCCTGCGGAGGAATATCCTCCAGGGACAAGGCGCCAGCCCAGCACAGAGAAGAGACAACAGATGCTGCTCTGGGCCTTGGCCTTTCTTTGCTCCCAGGGTTCAGACCTGTCTCCAGACGAGGCGTCTGGCCTGCTTTCTACACCAGCACCAAGTCCAAGGGCACCCGTTTGAGCATCTCCTGGCCTAAGAGCTGAGACCCTGTCTGGGACACACCTAATGTCAGCATGACGGTAATCGAGCCAAAGACGACCTTACGATCCTACTTGCCCCACGGCCTCATCAGCCCTGGGCTCCCATGAACCAAGCTCTCCAGTTAACCTCCACTCAAACGCCCCTGCGACTCGACCACCGCGTCTGTCAAATGGGTACACTCCCGGATGGTAGAGTGCTCTGATCAGGGCCGATCTGCTCCCTCTGTTGCCCGAAGGTGGAGAGTTATCCGCGGCAGGCATTCAGCTCTGCGTCCTCCTGCCGCGGCCCTCGCCCGGAGTGTTCAGGAGCCTCCCACTCCGTCGCCCTTTGCGGCCTGGGCCTACGGAGCTGCCCAGCAGCCGGCCGCGGGTGGCGAGGGGCAGGGAGGAGGCGGCGGCCTCGGCCTCGGGAAGGAGCCGCGCACGCCTGTCGGAAGGGCGAATGCAGGAGGGGCGGGGAGAGGGGACGAGCAGCGCTCTTCTCGCGAGTACTCTGTGATTTAATGGGGAGAACCACCAGATCCCTGTAACGCGTCAGCGGGACAATCACCAGATCCCGGCAACACGTCCGGCGCTGAAGTGGTACAGGCGGGGGCAGGAAGGGGCAACGCTGACGAGTGGAGAGGGAGGGAAACAGGATATGAGCGCTTTCTTCTCTTCTTGTTTGAAAGTTTCATTCAATATTGTCCCTCTTGGGGGGCGGGGGGAACGTCCTCTTTAAATTTTTTTCATTGCCCACGGTTACATACTCGTTTCCTTCTCTGCTGTACTTCCCAGCACCACTGAAGTCAGGCACGGCCGGGACGTGCAAGCGATGCGCGTGCCCCACCTGCAGGCCTGGCCCCTGGGAACCTCCCCGGCAGACTCCTCCACGGCCTCTCCTCCCTGGACGCAAGGTCAAGGGAGGTTCGTGCTAAGGAAGGCAGAGCCTGCCTGCATCAGCTGGGTGCCCGGATCCCTGCACGGAGCAGGGCACACCCTGACCCCTCCAGCACCAGATGGACCCAACGGGAGCAAGTCATGCTAAGTCGCTGACACTGGGGGGCGGTCACAGGTGAGAGCACACAGTGCCACCTTAACTTTACGTCCCACGCCCCACAAACCACTCGCGCCACTCTGCCTCCAAGTCTGCCTTCGCTGGATCAGAATGGCGGAGGGACTCACCCAAGTGTACTGCCCTCGATGCTTACTTACCGTGGCTTGGTGGCGGCCCAGGGCCCCGTCCAGTTCAAGGGCTCTGGTGCCTTGAAGCGGCTTTCTGCCAGGGGCGGGGCGGCGTACGGCACTCCCAGGAACTGGTCCACTTGCTTCCACACGGTGCCCACCCGGACGGCCTGGGACCTGCCCAGCAGCTGGCCGTGGGGGGCGAGGGTCACAGAAGGTACGGGTGCCCCAGAGCCGAGCAAAGAGATGTCTGTTGGGACAGGGAGTGGGAGCTCTGTTGACAAGGAATATTCTGAATATGCTTTAAGAGACAAACATTGCTCTTGGCCTTTTAAAAATATGAGTAAATCATTCAGACCCCCAACGCTTACATCGAGCGAGGCTGGTGCTCAGTGTAAAGAAAGAAAGAAGAGCAGAGACAGCTGGGCCTTCCCAGGCACCGACTGGGCAGAGGGCAACTCCAATCCCCTCTCCCCTGGCCGTCGTCCGCCTCATCGGTTCTTCCCAGGAGACTGGCCCAGGCCCCGGGCCTCCCCCCCGCCCCCCGTACGCAGCCCCCGGGGCCAGGCGTGTGCCGAAACTCAGAACCGTTCAGAGTTTTTAAAGAACCGAAGGACACAGACACGCCAGGTGCCGCCTTCCCTGGGAGGTCTGGAGGAAGACCTGTCATTGAATACAAGTGTCGCTGTGACAGGGCACTGCTAAGAGGAAGGAATAAAGGTGAACATTTCTTCAGTCACAAAATCCAGGTCAGATTTTGCCCCCAAGTGAGTCTCACACAGACTTAAAGAACACTCTTTTCTGACTTGTAGACTTTGAGCAGTCCAAGTCGCAGCAGCCAAGGAACGGGGGCTGCACGTGCGTTTCACTGGCAAGAAAACACATGCAGGGACCTGGGGAGGGCGGCTGCCAGGCCTTCAGGCTGGTGTGGGATTCAAGGCCAAGCCTCTCTGGACCCCAGCCCGGATCTGGCCCCGTCCACCCAGGGTCAAGGGCCTCCGCGGGCGCCTGCAACACCCTCCTTCCCTCGGCTCACGTCCCCACCCCACCCAGGCCGGCGCTGCCTGCCGTCAGAGCTCCGGGCTGCAGGGCACCCTCCGCCCCCTCCCTGTGACGCTAACCACCAGACGCTGTCAGGCTCGCAGCCCAGCTTACCCCCTACTATCTGTGCCTTCCCGTCATTCACTGATTCAGTAAACTGCCTGATACCATGTCCAGGGGCCCAAGATGGGCTCTGTCTGAGTCCCCACAGGGCTCAGGGCCCCCTCCTGTGCAGAGGACAGGAGCCCTGGAGAGGACATTCTCTCTCTCCCTCCCTCCCTGCCCCCAGCATATGGGTGTGTGTGTGTGTGTGTGTGCGTGTGGTTGCCTACTACTCCCACCAGGTGTTTTTGCTTTGCTCAGCTTCACTGTCCGCTGACTGAGAGGAGCAGCTTTGCCGTTCCCTCTGCAGCGGCGTCTGTCTGTGACACACGTATGCTGCCTGCCCTGCCAGGAGCCTGGGACGGGGGCGGACAGACAGAAAGACCAACTGACAAAGTCCAACCATTTCCCAAAATCTGGGTACAATGCAGCGGTTCCACTGAGGGTGGTTTTGCCCCAGGGGACAGTTGACAATGGCTGGAGCCATGTGTGGTTGTCACAAGGGTGAGGAAGAGAGGCTGCTGGTGTCTGGTAGGCGAGAGGCCGAGGCTGCTGCGGAACGTGCCGCCGTAGACAGGACTCGCCCCCCGCGGCAGAGGATTCCCCGGGGCCCGGCTGTGCCGTGTGTCCGTGACCTCCAGACCCCTGAGGGTCGACAGTGAGGAGGGTCCGATGGGTGGTCTGGGGAGTCGAGCGGGCCTGTGTTTTATATTATGGACCGACACTTTGGAAAACTTCCTAATTTTTTGGACCTTCCACTGTTCCACCTGCAAAATAGAATAATAGCAGTCCCTACACCACAAAGGTGTCAGGAATAGGTAACATCATGTGTGTAATGTCCCAAGCCCAGTGACTGGCAAATGGTAACTCAACATGTGCATGGATGGATGGATGGATGGATGGATGGAATAAATGAGTGAATGAATGAGAAAGAGGGAGGGAAGAAAGAACAGAGGGGAGGAAGAAAGGGAGGAAGGAGGGAAACTGAATGAAACCTTCTCTGTTGCAGTAACAGTGGAGTGTGAGCTGGAACTCAAAATGGAAACTCAGGATGGAAAGAAACCGCTGCTGCTTTCTGATCTGGCCCGCGTCGCAAATCGAGCCTGCATGCTCTCTCTCCCCCTCGGCGCCCCCCCACGAGACTTCCTGCTGCCATTGGAAATCACAGGGGCCCGGGCAGGCATTCGAGGCCGTGAGCACTATGGCTGCAGGACTTTCCAAGGCCGGCTTGTTTCCTCTGCAGGAAATGGCCACATTGCATGAACGTGGCATCCTCCGAAGGGGGGCAAAGACAGAAGACTCAAAAGCAAAGAATTTCGAGGGAATGCAAGCTGGCTTTCCCACGGACGGCGGTATTCGCCCCCGCCCCCCGCCCAAGGCCGCCGGAGGAATCCCAGACCGAACGAGAGCCAGCGTGGGGCAAATGTCAGATGTGCTGCTCTGAACTCTTCTGCAGAAATGGTGGGTTCTTTCCAGAATACCCACGTATTTAGGCCGTCCAGCTGTTTCCGGCGGCTCTCTAGTGCCTTGGGGACTAGCAATGCCTGTGGATGCACGTGGGCAAGCATCTCCTGCTGCTGGTGAGCACTTCGCGTGGAATTTAAGTCACATGCAATTAACAGAGAAAGGGTCTAATTTATTGTACAGAACTGACCCCTCAATGTCAAGGCATTTCTCAGCAGGACTAACGCGCAGATCAGCTACGCTGCGGGTGAAATACGCGGTTGGAATCCAACTTGACTAAGTAACGGAAATGTCCAGATAGGAGATGAGACTTGAGCCCGGGGCCCGAGATCTCAGTGTTCCCAGGCCTGGGGCGGGGGGAGGGGCGCTCTCAAGGTCTGAGGTGGAGGAGGGGCGAAAGACGACAATTATCGCTGGATCAAGACAACCCTGAGGGGCCATCCATGTTCTAGGATGGGGTGGGACCGAATCCAACTGCTACCCAGTTTTATAAATAAAGTTTTATTGGCACACCGCCACGCCCGGGGATTTACGGATTGTCCTGTCTGTGGCTGCTTTCCTGGTACAATGGTGGAGCGGAGCCGTTGTAACAGAGGCGATAAATAGCATGACTGTGGAGAGCTGACCTCTGCTTTGAAGATAAGATGTCTGTATCGACAACCAACATTCCTAAAGGTTACTAATTTTACCCGGGAAGCATGTTTAGGCAGGGGCACCCGCAGGCCCCCAGCTCCCGTGTGCCCTCTCACACAGCCCTTACCAATTTCACCTGGTGATGGAGTCGGGTTCTGTTCCCATCCCCCTGCCTGCTTCCCCCCTGCACCCCAGGGCCTGGCAATGTCTGACACGTGACAGCACCTCATTGGCTGTCCTCAAACTAAACCGGGCCAGGAGCCGCTGCCCTTTCTACAGGACTCCGATGTGGTCGCGAGGCAGCGTGGTCTTGCGGGAGAGGCCTGGACACCGGCCCCGGCCCCTCCCCTGTCCCCACGCTCTGTGTGAGACCGGGGGAGTAACTTCACTTCTCTGGGCCGGCGCCTCCGGGTCTCCAAGGTGGGGTAAAACCCTCACTGTGCTACCTCACGAGATCAACGTGAAGGTCAGACAAGAAAGGCCTGTGAGAGAACTTTCCAAACTACGGAACAGTAATAGAAAGTGGTCTGTGTCATTATTTCACTAGGAAACCCAGAGGCCAGAATGGCTCCCACAGCTAGAGGAACAGGTGAACAAAGATGGGGTGGGGAGGGTCCCCCTGGAAGGAGGGGTTTCCGCCTTCCTTCGGTCCAGCCCAGGGGAGTGCCGCGGAGCCCGGGACAACTCTGGCTGACTCGTCCTTACGGACCTCAAAAGTCACTGCCCGCGAGTCACCGCAGACTTGGACGGTCCCTCTCCGCCACAGCCAGGCTCCCGGGAACGGCCCCGAAGGCACAGGCCTGGACTCACTCAGCTTCCGGTAGATGTAGGTGGCCTCTTCGCGGAGTAGAAGCTGGCAGTGCTGGGCCTGCAAGCTGTGTGTGCAGATTTGGGTATCGGCGTAGAACATGCACCTCAGAGCGCCAGGTCGGCTCTGCAAAGTGGTGACCAGGCAGGCCTGGTGACGGGAACACTCTGAGGATTAAAGGGAGAAGAGTGAGGGCTGGGCCCCAGAGACACCGCTTAATCGTCCATCCGTCCGTCCGTCCATCCGTCCATGCTTCAGTGCATCATTGTATCTGTCCAGCCATCCATCTCTCCATTCATCTATCCATACATCAGTGCATTAATACATGCATGCATGCACCTATCCATCCATCCATCCATCCATCTCTCGATGCATCAATACATCAATGCATCCATCCATCCATCCATCTCTCCATGCATCAATGCATCCATCCATCCATCCATCCACCCCCCAGCCACCCACACACAATCCATCCACCACTCATTCAATCAATGCCGTGTTCATCTGAGCACCTGCTCTATATCCCAGGCGCTGTTGCAAGGGCTAGGAATAAAATGCTGGTGCAGGCGGACCCGACTCTCCCATCAATCTATGTTCCTTACAACAGCCAGCTTGTGAGTAGTTTATTTATTCATGAAAGGGCTCCTGTCTTTCACCTATTTAAAATAGTCCGCGGCTCCCCGCTGGCCCCAGGGCTGAGTCATGCCAGATAAGGCTCTGTGCACTCCAGCCTCTGCCTTCTTCTTCCACCTCATCTGCCCCCCGCCCCAATTAGGGGAACACTTTTGCAATGCTCCACTAGGGGTGATGTCATCTCCCGTGTGTGCCAGCTCCTAGACTAGACAGTTTAAATTATGCGTGGCATTTCAGCCCTAAGAACAGCTTTGAAAATAGTGCTGCCTCATTCCCTTGGGCCGGCTGTGCTCTGCCTGAAGGCCGTAATTACACCCAGTCCGTGCCATGGCGCCACCCAGGGTCGTGCAGTGCACAACCTGTGCCTCCGTACATGGCACGTCTGCAAGAAACGCACCGTGTTATCCACCCTCGTAAGGGAGGAGATCCATGGGATGCAGAATTGGAGGAGCGTGACGGTTACCTAATCTCCGTCTCTTGCAGAAGCTAGTCTTTGTAGAACATTCCTATTGAGTGGTCACCTAGCTTTTACCTCTAAATGAAGTACGCATTTGTGGGTAGCTTTGTCTATAGAAAGTTCTTTATATTGCACTGCAAACTGTCTCTGGAAATTTGAGTGGTAAGCATAGGTCTGAGCTTTGCCCCGTGAGCTCGGCCAGAATGAGCACATTTCTTCCTCGCCATGACGGCCCACCCGGCATCTCAGGACAGCTGCTGCAGTGCGCTCACCTCCTCCGTCCCAGACTAGCCAGCCCCCTGGAGCCTTCCTCCGACCCTCCTCCGACCTGGTTCGATGTCACTCACTTTCTGTGTGGTGTGTCCCTGTGAGGACTGTGCGTGACTGTGGCTGACTGCAGGGGCACGGGGACACTACAGAGGGGAGCACACCCAGGGTCTCCCCCAGGTCAGTCCCTGCCTGCCAGCACCCCATGGTATCTCAGGGTCTCCTCTGTGTCCCCGAGGTCAGAATCTTGAGCTGCACTTGTATGAGGTCCCATCCCAGTCGACCGCACTAAGGCGGAGTGGGCTCAGAGACTCCCCTTACCCAACAAGCAGAGGTCTCGGGCAGCAGAGAAGTCGCCGATGGCAGCCGTGCTGACATGGGCCACGTCAAAGCTCCGGATGGACGGGTCGACGACTACTGAAGAGAGGGCCAGGGTCTGCCACGAGTCCAGGGCAACTGGGGGAGAACACGGGGGACAGCGGTCACACACAGTGGCCACCTGGCGCATGAAGGGAGCGGAGTGCCCCCTGACGCCCCCAGCGGGCAGCCCCGGGGCGCCCTCTCCCGGGTCTTGATTGTAGTGTGACACATTCCTTGGTCTACCCCTCCATGCTACAGCCATCTGTTTAAAGGGTTTTTTTGGATTTTATTTACTTATTTTCCGAGACGGAAGGGAGGGAGAAAGAGAGAGAGAGAGAGAGAAACATCAATGTGCGGTTGTTGGGGGCTGTGGCCTGCAACCCAGGCATGTGCCCTGACTGGGAATCGAACCTGCAATGCTTTGGTTCGCAGCCCGCACTCAATCCACTGAGCTACGCCAGCCAGGGCTGTTTAAAGTTTTTTATGGGCCAAGTTTTATACCCCAGCTTAGGGATACAAAGGTTAAAAAAAAAAACACAGAACGAACAAAAGCATGGGTGTTTCCTTTAAGCAGGTCATGGTTACTGGGAGGAAGTCAAAAAGAAGATGAACACCGTGCACTTGTGAGAACGCAATGATCGGAACAGCTGTGTCAGGAACAGCAGTGACAACAGATGCATGCGTGTTTGCACCGTGGTCAGGTCTTCATGGCACGACATCATGAAGCCCCCCCCCCAAGCCCACGGAGGGAGGCACTGCCGTCACTCCCCACGTGGACACTGCCGTGTGCCACCCGGGCCCCTTCAGGGCCGAGGCTTCCATTTCCCCAGCTGATGGGACACTGGTGGCTGCGGGGTCCCGGCTGAGTCCCTCCCCGGGAATTGCCTTTGGTCTAGATGAGCTGCTGCCCCTCCCCAGGGTCAACCTGTGTCTGAAAACTAGTCCGTATGGGAACACAATGGCCCTCAAGATGGGGCAGCTCTGAAGGGCCAGCCCACGTGAGAGCCCACTGAGGCACCGATGGGGCCATGGCTTGGGTGGCGTCACAGCTGGACTCCTGCCCCTGCCCCATCTGTCCCTCGCTGCCTTGCGGTTGTGGCTCCTGAAGACACCACACCCGGAACTCCTGGCCTGCAGGTCTCCACCGCAGAGCCCCCCGGTTCCTGGAAAACCCCGGCTAGGATGGAGACCACGGAGCGTGGTGCAGTTCAAGCAGCTTGCCATGAGCGTGCCCCTCTCGAGGGGGGGATGGGACTGAAAGTAGGTCTCTGCCCTCCCACTGCTCGAGGTGCGGCCTCCCACATCCTGTGCACCGGTCACGCCGTCACGGCAAGTGAGAAGGACACGTGGTGCGGCTGCCGGGAGCGGGGCCGGCAGAGACCTGTCGGAGCACCTGGGTCCCTGCGGGGAAGGAGGCGACCCTGGACGGGCAGCGGCAGCTTCCACTGAGAGGACGGGCCAGGGGGCTTGGTCAGTGGGCACGTCACTCTCTCTACAAACAGCATTCAAGAGGCAAAGCGCTGCCCCCCAACCCAGGCCTGCGCAACCCTTCGGGAGCGCGGGCTCTGAAACCTCCCAGGGAGCCGCTCGGCGGGCGCGTCGTGGATAATTCACGGCGGAGACCTATTCGTTGACCTTTGGCTTTGTCTTTGACTTTGTTCAGAGGCTCACAGCACTTCGCCCTCACGATGCACATTTGCGAGCCTGTCCCTTGTGCTCGCAGAGCTCTGAGGGGACCTAGGCACAGCCCTTCGCAGTTCACAAAGCCCTGTCACTCACCAGCTAAGCCCTTTGGGGTGCAAGCCTCACGCCGGATCCCCAAAATGTCCCGAGGGAGGCGTGGGGTGGGGACACCCGTGCCTCCTTCACAAACGAAGTGTTGGAAGCTCGCAGAAGTCACGTGACTCTCCAGGAAAAAAGGGCTGGGCAGTGACCGAGCCAGAGGTCGACGAGGCCTCCTGGGTCTGAGCTGCCCCCTCCACGGCTGAGCATCCTTCCCAGAAAACGGTCTCCGGGTTGAAAAATAATAATAATAACAAAGGCCATTGTTTTTAACAGCACTACACTGCGTGGGAGAGCCTGCCATGTTTTTCAATCAAACCTGCTTTTGACACCGAGCACTGGGGGCCACTAGAATGAGGATGGCAGTCAAGAACCAAGACAATCTAACACCATAACCCTTTCTGGTTCTTTTTTAAAAATAAAAACGGAAAAAGAGAAGTCACCAAAATATACCACCGGACTTCACACGGACTCGGCGAGAAGAAGGCAGGCCCCACAGCGGTCCTGGAGCCGGGGGGCTGGCTTCAGAGCCAGGAACCCCGTCTTCCTGAACTTGGGGCCCGTTTGCCCTGCCAGAGACGCCATGCGTCCATCTTTGGAAGCGTCTCCCGCAGGCTGCTGTTCTCACGGTCAGTGCAAGCGGCGTTTTTGCAACATGACCAAACCGCGCGGCACATTTTTGGATGAGGAGCGCACCGCAGTTTCAGGGAGGAGTCATGATGGGGCTTCAGGACCGAACCTGCCAATTATGGTCTTAAAATGGAAGCCCCCGCCGCCGCACTCCCATTCTGACGGATGTCTCGGGGAACGCGCTGTAATTGAAGGATGAGTTTCATCTCCAAAGTGAGAGCCGGCTCAGCTGTCGCCGTCCTGGGGCCGGGAGCTGAGCCTCTGCCACGCCCGCCCCCTGTCCCCACCCTCCCACCGGCACGAACCCCCAGGACGAGAGATTGCTGACACGCAGAATCCAACGTCTGGGGTTCACACATCTCACAAACACGCCGAGGACCATTTCTCTGTGAATGCCGAAGCGTGGGAAGCACGCAAGCTGGGCATCTGCGGAGCGTGTCGTGGGTTGCCAAGAACCCAGCGGCACCACTGCATCCGACATTCACCACAGCCCAGGCTGCGGCACCGCCACTGTGCGCCTGCTACGGACGAGGAGACGGGTCCAGTAACACTCCCAAAGGCCTTTGCTGATGGGGGAGGGGGGCACGCCAGGGCATGAGCTCACATCCCTCAAGTCCAAAAGCCAGGGTTTACGACCACGTGAGATCTTCTTTCCAGAGAATAGGGTAGTGAGAGCTTTCGGGCACGCCCAAAGGACGAGTCTGCTCTAAAGCAGCCTCTGTGGTTTGCTGATTAGCTTGAATTTTTTTCTTTTGTTTAAAATATATTTTATAAACTGCAATGCTAGCATCACTTAATTGTTTTAGATCTCCCCTTGAGCTGGAAATGCATATTTAGCGTGCATTAAGTGCCGCTGAGGGAGTGACTCTCGGTGGGCGGCTGCCCTTTTCCATTCACTGCGTTAGTTCTGGTCCTGCTCACACACCGCTTAAGCTCTAGTCACTTTATAGTGCAGTCGATCATCTAATGGCAAGAGCCTTCCCATATTGTTTTTCTTTTAGAAATATTTCCTGGTTACTTTTGGCTATCTATTTACCAGATGAGATTCAAACCATTTTGTCAAGTTTCAAGAATGCTCCTTTGGGACATGAATTGGAAAAATGAATTTAAAAACTCTTTATGTTTAATTTTGGATGTCATTATGAATGAAATAGGATTTTTTTCCTTTTCTTTCTTTTTTTAAAATATTTTATTTATTTATTTTTTAGAGAGGGAAGTGAGGGAGGGAGAGAGGGAGAGAGAGAGAAAGAGAGAGAGAAACATTAATGTGCGGTCGCTGGGGGCCGTGGCCTGCAACCCAGGCATGTGGCCCAACTGGGAATCGAACCTGCGACACTTTGGTTTGCAGCCCGCGCTCAATCCACTGAGCTACGCCAGCCAGGGTGGATTTTTTTTCATTATAAATATTTTTAAATGGTTATTATTGACCTAAAGGAAAGCTATTTCTGGGTGTGCATTTCTTTTCTAACAGGACACTGATTTGCAATTTAGCCTCTTTTCTCTGTGGCTACTTTGAAGACAGGCTCCAGCTGGATTCCAGATTTGGCAATGACATGCCCTCAGACCCTGGAACTAGTCACGGGCTCTGAGCATGCGTCATTAATAGCGTGGACCTGGATGGAGCAGCCAGGCTCCTTGAGTTCTATCCCCGCTCCTCCACGTAACAGCTCAGGGACTTTGGGCAGAACACTCCTCTTCTCTGAGCCTCAGTTTCCCCGTCTGTAAAATGGGGACAGCACGAGATGCTCTCTTCTAGAATGGGGATCAGGAATCAGTGAGTTACTACTGTACGGGGGTGGGGGAACTTAGTGAGGACAGCCACCGGCCTTGCCTCTGGGCCGAGCTGCCCCTGAGTCACTGTCTCTTCAGAACTGTGGAGGTCTGAGCCTGACTCACGTACTGGGGGCATTCTCTGAGGGGTGCAGGAGCCCCACCACGGCAGCACTCCCACAGCTCTCTTCCTGATTTCTGCCCGATCGCCGCATCCCTTGCCACCCGCCCCCCCCCAGCCTGGTCTCGGGGCACCCACTTCCTGCCTGTCAGCACCTCACCCTCCACCCTCTGGCCCTGTGGCTCCTCAGCCAAGCCATTCGCACGGCAGCACCGAGAGTGCGCACGCCTGCCTGGCCCCTGCGTCTCCGTCCGCACGGGAGACCTGCTGCTGGAAACAGCAACATTGCAAATGGCGCCCCAAGGCTCTAAGAGCCCCATGGGTCCCCAAAGGAACCCACCCCTGCCAGCAATGCCCACCCCGCTCTTCACCCCCACACGGCAACATTTCCTCTCGGGGGAATGCTTTCGGCACCCACCCTGCTGGCCCACCCAGAAAGCCTGTCATCCTCATTGCCTCCCCTCTCCCCGGGGAGCCGTCCCTTCTTCTCCGTCCAGATTCTGGCCTCACCCATGTCGCTGAAGTCACGGGCACTCCAGTTCCTGAGACCCAGCCGTGCATCCCCGTCACCAGCCTTAGCTGCTCTCACGTCATCGCCATACTCCAGCCAGGGCCCCCTTCCAATCTGCTCACCCCAATCACTGCTCAGCACCCTCAGGGTCACAGGCCGAGTCCTCGGAGTCTCCAGCTGCATTGCCCCTCCCACTCGCGGTGCACCCCGAACATGCCATGTAGTCAGAGGACATGGAAAGAGATACCACCGTTCGACAAAATCTGAACTGTTGACTCACAG